AAACAAAGCTTTGAGTTTGAAATAATGTATAAAAGTATTTTCATTACGTTTTGTTATGTAATAAATATTTCAAAAATATTGGCAATAACCAGCCATAACGATTCTGTTGATTCACATATTAACTCCAAGAATTTCACCACATCATCTCATCATTTAAATAGTATTGTATAGTAAGGGTGAATTTAATCCTTCAGCACGATTTGGAAATAATTTTATTATTTGGAAAAATTCAAGTTGGTACATCATCATCGGAACAACTACCAACCATCATCATTGTTATTTATCATCATTAATAGTAATATATAAATCTGATAATAGTAATATTTTAGTGAAATTTAATATTTTCACTAAAATCATCATTACTGCCAGATTCATATGGTAATTTGGAAAACTTTCAATCATAAGTATTGTAGTCTGTGGTCCATCAAGGTAAAATCACTTCCGAACATTTTCCTATTGTTTCATGAACATTAATAAACTATTAGTATATCAATTATATCGTTATACTTGGTTGAAATCATTTGGGACTGTCCGTTAATGTAGATCAAACATGATAAAACAATTGAAAATTGTTGTGTTGAGTTGTTGTGAATCAAGGTTGAAAATAAGCAAGATTTCCGACCTTGAAATTTACCATTAGTTACTTTTATTGGTGGTGTGATTCATTTACATCAATGATATGATGTTATTAATGATACTATGTTGTTGAAATTCACTCATCATGATGAAAATATAGGGTGAATGATGAATACTACACCAACAAGATGACTATTATTCGGAGTTGTTGTATACTGATAATATGCTATTAAAATTAAATTGTAATATTTATTACCTCTTGTATCGTAAAGACCTGAGAGACGAGGTCTACAACCAGAAAGTTTCGGTTCAGCGTTTAAGAGTTATGTGTTGACACTAAGTGGTTGGTTAGACTGAGCCTGCCTGTGGTAGGCAGAGAGGTATTTCCTGTTAATAGTGAAGCTCGCATTATGACGGTTGTACCACACTGAGTTCTTGTAGCAATTTTCCAAATAAATAGCTAGTGATTTGTAGATTTCTTGAGCCACATTCTTAGGTGTTCGTTTGCGCTTAGACCAGTTAAGCCAGTCATTATGGGAGCAACGACCATCAAACTCTATCCAAGTTGAGAGGATTCTGAGATATCAGTAGGAAAACGAATCTTGTTAAGGCTAAATTTCTAGTCCCAATCTTTCGTTTCATAGCATATTATTTAAACAAATAGATGAAAAATAACAGTAGTTTACTTATTGCATGTTAATTTATGCACCTTCCAATGCTTGCTTTGGCATTCTTTAGAGCAATAAACAACTGCTTGACATGCTCCACACTTCTTTTTAGAGTTAGGTTTGCCACAATTTACACAATCATAATTTTTCTTTTCCACAGAATTAGTAATGACGGTAGTATTTTCTGTATTTTCTTTTTCCTTTGGTTGAATTGTTTGTTGATTAATTTGTAGTTCTTGTTTAGTTTCAATATCTGGCTTTAGTGTTTTCAATAAATTAATGAAAAGTTCATTGTTTGGATCTTTAGCAAGTGCTACTTCACAAACTTGAATTGCTTCATTAACCCTTTCTAAACTCTGTAATGTTAATGCTTTTCTATAATAACCTTTAGAAAAATTCTCATCTACCAAAATAGATTCATTTGCAGATATTAATGCTCTTTCATAATTTTTTAAATTAAAGAAGCAAGCTGACATATTGGAATATAAAATAGGTTTGATATTTTGAGTACAATCTGGATGTTTCAACGCTTTGTTATAAAAATCTAATGCCTTCATTGATGCACCTTTTTTAAATTCTTCATTTCCCTTATTTTTTAATTCTTCAGGTGTTTCTAGTGGAATATTTGATTTTTCATTTGAAAGTAAATCAATAATTTCTTTGTCAGTAATATTTAGTGATATTGGTAATATTGAAACAGAACCATCAATTCTTGATTCAATATATTGCATGAATGATTTTTTTAAATGTTGATCTGTTCATAACTATATAAAATTTGTTTAGTAATTTTAATCCAAATAAAATAATTGCATCAACACATTTTTCAAATGAAACATCATTAGAATGAGGTACATTAGTCATATAACATCTTTGACATTTTTCCAATCCTTTAACACATTCATATACACTTGTATTAAAAAGTTCTTTTACACAAGTTTGTAAAATATCATTTGTAAGACTATTCTTTTTGAGTAGATATGATAAAATTTCAACTAGAGGTTTCCAATTACCTTGATTAATTGCCATTATTAAAGGACTTTGCTTAATTTTTACAGTTTTCAAAGGAGTACCTGTTTTTTCACAAAAATATTTTACAATATCTGATCCATAATCATAATAACATGCGAAATGAAAAGGAGTAGGTTCACTTTTCGTATAAATTGTAGCTCCTTGATCAACTAATAATTTTACAGCATCAAGATTTTTAGCACGAACAGCACAATGTAATAAATATAAATTTACATCAGCTCTAGAATCAGGAAAATATAATTTTGAATATAATTTAAAAAAATTATCAAAAGGTTTCGAATTATCAAAATATTTTCTTCCAAGCTTTTTTTCTTCATTATTTAAAGTTAAATGAGAATTAATTATATTTGCATTCTTAATTGCCCATTCTAAAGCTTCTGGATTTGATAACCATAAATCTAAATGATCTGAAATATATTGTGCTTGTGAACAAATAGATGATTCATCACTCGAAAATACTAATGAATTTGGTATTCTTACATTTGCAAGTTTTCTAATACCTAATAAATATTCATATACTAATGGTGAATTAAGTGCTGCAACAGCAATTGATCCATAAAGTTCAGAATCTTTTTCTCTTCCACTTTCAATAAATTCTACATGTTCTTCAACTGAATTATCTTTTGATGATTTCTTTTTTATCATAAAATCACAAAGTGCAAAACTCCAAAGTAAAACCTTAGAAGATGCTAAACTTAATAAATCTTTGTTTTTTTTCATAAAATCATATGCTTCTTTCCATTTTCCTAATTTCATTAAACATTCAGGAATATTATATTGGAAATTACAATAACTAACCATAGATCCATGAATAATTGCATCAAGTTTTACAGCTCTATTATATGAATCTAAGGCTTCTTGATATTTACCCATTTTTCTTAAAATATTTGCTTCTCCAATAATTGATCTAAAATATTGTCTTAATTCATGTTTAGTCCAATTATCTTTTTCATTAAATTTTAAATTTGAAGAATAATATTCATCTTTTTTTTCTTGTCCTTCTCTAAAATATTTTAAAGCTTGTTCATAATTATTAGATTTATATAATCCTAATATATTAAAAGCTTCAATACAATTAGGTGATATTTTAAGTGATTCATCAGCAATTTTTAAAATATTATCTAATTCTTTAATATTAATAGAATTTAAATCATCATCAAAAAATAATTTAGTTTTAGAATAAGCTTCAAGAGATTTCTTTGATGCTTGAAAATTTTCCTTTGTTTTAAACATATTTTGTCTTTGTTCGGAATCATGAATAGGTGATCCAGCCATTTCATTATTCTTTTTAAAATCATTAATAAGAAATTCTACATCTCTACTATCAGGATTTTTATAATATTGTTCAATTAAATAAATTTTCTTTTTCTTTTCTGTTTCAAATTTTAAACCTGATGTATTTTCGTGTTTTTCATAAATATTACATAAATCTAATATTTTAAGTATTTTATCAAGTTGAATTTCATCTAAACTATGTAATTTACTTGATGCTCCGAATATTTTAGAAAATGTATCCGTATATTTTTCAAATAAACAAGATAATGATGGATTATTGCAACTATTTTTTAAACCTAGCATTGAAGCTAGATTGAATGAAGACATTCTATGAAAAAGAAATGATGATGTTGAGTTAAAAAGGGAGAGAGTGATTACACGGAAGTGATGATGAAATTTTTTATTGTTCTAAAAATAATTGGAATTTACGATGTCTTCAAAATGAACTACAACTTGTTAAAAGAGAACAAAACCAACATGAAAAAAATCACCAACCCGACAATAATAACAACAAAATATAATTGAAGACACTCAACATCATTCCTTACTTTAAGAAACGAATGAATTTAATTAAATCTACATGTTTAATAATAGTCTTATTTATTTTAATAATAGATATTTCTAAATGTGATGATAATAATGGTGAAATTTCATGGAATGATGAAAATGAGATTTGGTTTGCTCAATCATCTCCATTTAGCGGAACTTATTCATCAACAGGACAAGGTTTGTAAAAATTCTTCTATTATTAATATCAATTTTATCTTCATCTTTCAGATCTTCAAAAAGGAATTCTAGAAGCTTTTAATGAAATTAATTTATTGGGAGGTGTATTTGGAAGTAAAAAATTAAAATTAATGAGTCTTGATGATTCATATGAAGCGGATAAAACTTTGAGGAATGTAAATTATTACCTTAATTTAAATCAAACATTTTTTGGATTTATTGGATTTTTCGGATCTAGAACAATACAATCTGTATATAAAAGATTAACATCACTGGGTTATCCACTTATTGGTAGCTATACAGGAGCTCAATTTTTAAGAACACCTTTCAATAGAAATATTATTAATGTTGTAAGACCATCATATTATGATGAAGTTGTTTCATTACTTGATTATTTATTTTATAATAAGGATGCAAGAAAAATTTCAATATTTTATCAAACCGATATATTTGGATCTGATGCATTCACAGGTGTTGTTGAATCTTTACAATATTTTGGTGTTAAATTATGTTCTCAAAGTCCTTATAATGTTACAACAAATAATTTAAATGATATTGAACAATCTGTAAAACAATTAGCGAAATGTAATCCAGATTCAATTATTATTGTTGCATTAACAAATGCAACTCAAACATTTTTAAATCATGTTGTAAATTCAAATCTTTTTAGAAAAGATATTAATATTGTTGCAACATCCATTAATAGTGATACTTTAGTTAGAGTATTGGGATATAATATTTCTTCTAAAATAATTTTTAATCAAGCAGTTCCTGATCCTATTGATATTACAAATCCATTGGTTGCTTCTTTTCAAAAAGCAAGAAAAGTTTATGATCCCAACTCTAAAGATTTTGGATCTGTTGCAGAGTTAGAAGGATATTTAATTGGAAAATTTACCTATAATTTATTACAACGAACTAGTGGTAATTTAACTAGAAATAATTTTTTGAATGAATTATATTATTCTCAAGAAATTTTAATTGATAGAATGAGAATTGGAACTTTTACTGATTGTTCAAATTCTTCAGGATGTTTAAATGAGTGTAATCAAGGATCTAAAACTTTTTGGAGAGATAGAGTAACAAGTGAAAATATTCTTAAAACTGTTGATGTTTTTACATGGTATTCTGTTTGTACATCAACACCTTCTTCAATAAGATTTCCTTATTTAATTGGTCAAATTGTTTTTAAACATGAAAATTATTCCAAAATTAATACATTTTTAAAAGAAGGTATTTATAATGGATTATCTTTAAAAAATATTAATGGAAATGAGATTCACTTATTGACCTTAGAGTATGAAAATTTTCAAGATTTAATTTCTAAAACTATTGAATTAATAACATCCTATAATGTAGTTGCTATTACTGGTATTACTGGACTAGATAATTTTAATGAACAAGAACAATTAATATTTAAAAATTTATTCCTTCAAAACTTTACAGAAATACCCATTATTGGCTTAATTACAGAAGATCCCAATCTAATGTCACCAAGTGGAAGTAATTTTCTACCAAGTTTTATAAATCTGAAAACAAGTGTTATTGAGCAAATTGCTACATTATTGGAATATACATTTGAAAGAGGATTTACTAGAATTTCTATTGTTTATGATTCAAAAAATTACAAACATATTTATGAATATTTATCAAAATTATTAAAAATTGTTAATTTAGAAATAGAGAGTGAACATAACTGTGAAGAAAATATTTTATTTAATGCAACTATCAATCCTCATGCAATACTTGTCTCTTGCAATAATGTTAAAAATGTAATTGAACAAATTGATAATTATTCAAATTTTAGAAATGATGGACTGTTATTAGTTTTAAATGATATTTTTCTTTCTGATAATATTAACAATTTATTTATCAAAAGAAAATTAATTTATAGCACTCCATTTAATCATTTCAATAATAGTTCTATTTATTTATTAGAATTATTTTCAATGAATACTAAATATACTCAAAATCAAGAATATTTCAAATCTGATATTGCAATTGAGGGTTTTTATATTGGAGATTTTATTTCCTTTATTATGGATAGCCTTTCAGATGCTGGAAAACCAATTACTGGTAAAAGTTTTATTGAATATCTATATTCAATAGAGAATATTAATCTTCATGGTCAAGTTATTGGGACATTTAGTAATGTAAAATTACCTTTATGTAATTTTGGAATAAGGCAAAGATATGTTTATCAACTTAAAGAAAAATTAACTGAGCAAGTTTATACTTCTAAATTTAGTACTGAACAATGTGGTTTACAACAAGCTATTCAAAGTTTGGATTCTTCATCATACTCAAGACCTTTTCAATTTATTAAATTAGTTAAAACATCAGTCAAATATTATACAGATAGTGTTATAGTTGAATATCAGGATGATTTTATTGAAGGTGTTAATTCTTACTTTTTAAATCTAAAAGAAGATTCTTCAAAATATTACCCTTTTACCTTTCAAATTGTAACAAAACTGTATACTGATAACAATGATGTGAAAAGTATCATCAAGGATCTTATCAGTAAGCAACACATGTTTGCATTTATTGACCCTGATATCTCTGATACGCTTACTGCATCCTATCTCATTGAACAAAGTAATATTAATCAAATACCAATAATATCATCAGAATCTTCTAATTTAATATTTAGAAAATTTTCAAAAAATGTATTTAATCTATTACCATCCATAATTGATCAAAGTGTCGCCCTAATTAATTATTTTATAAGTAATTTTCCATCAAAGTCCATAATCATACTTTTGGAAAATGATAATTATTGGTATGAAAATGATTGGATTAATGATCTATCAGATATTTTGGAAGATGGTTTTGTCATTAAGATTAAAATACAGTCTCTTAACACTTATAGACAAGTTAAAGACGATATTTTATTAATATTTACTCAACCTAATAATTTTATTCAATATTATTATTCAAATATCCATAACTTGCAAGACAAACCAATTATTGGGCTTATTTCTGATATTTATAATACAATAGAGATATCAGAATTTTTATATTCGCTTAATGATCCTTCATTCATTTATACACCAGTTATTGAGCTACTAAACGTAAGCTCTTATGTTACTACAAAATTTCATCAAGTTTTTCAAAACTATAATTCAACTTTTCCCTCTTCCACTAACAAAGTATTGAATGGATTTATAACGGCATTGTTCATTGATGAAGTATTTGAATCATTTATCAATTTGAAAAACAAGTCTCGAGCTGACTTTTTAAAGAAAGTATATGAAATTTCCTCTTTTGAATTAGGAGATCTTAAAATTGGCTCATTTATAGATTGTACGTCTACCAATAACAGTCAATGTATGAGTTGTAATCAAGGAATAAGATCTATGATAATAGCGAAAACAATAAGAATTGGAGATTTTGTTCAGTTAATAGAATCAGGAAGATATTCTTACGAAACATGTGGTGTTGTAGCATCAACAAAAGACTTGACCAGCCATATTTTACTGTTCGTACTTGTTATACTAATTACTCTTGTTATTATTATGATAATCTTACTTTCTATTTTAATATCATACAAGATAATAACTAAAGGAAAAGAATCACAATATGCACCAATATCAAAAGGTACATTTGCATTTACAGATATTCAAAATTCAACATTTTTGTGGCAAACAAATGAGAAGGCAATGAAAATTGCTCTTTCAATTCATAACAAAATTATGAGAAGAAATATTAAGATATTTAAAGGATATGAAGTTAAAACAGTAAGTAGAAAATAATCAATCTAATACTCAAATATATTAGCAAGGAGATTCTTTTTTCGTAGCATTTAAAAATCCTGATGATGCAATTCATTGGGCTCTAAAAGTACAATCAGATTTGATGCAAGCAAAATGGCCATTAGATATTATGACTCAATATGATTGTAGACCTCAATTTGATGAAAATACCAAAAAAATGGCATTTTCAGGATTAAGAGTTAGAATTGGAATTCATTGTGGTCAAGTTGAATCAGTTAATGATAAAACTGTGAAAAGAATTGATTATTTTGGTTCCTGTATCAACCAGGCTGCTAGAATTGAATCAATTGCACTTGGAGGAATGGTATTAATAAGTGAAGATCTATTTAATGAAACTGAACATTTATTCAAAAAAATAATATTGGAAGATAGAGTAATTTTGGATATTAATACAAACAAGTCAAAACCAATTAACTCAATTTATATTGCTGAGGATTTTGGATACTGTTCTCTAAAAGGTATTAAGGAATTTGTAAAGGTATTTTCAATCAGTAATGATGAGACAAAATTTAGAAATTTTGTAAAGGTTGGAAAATCTTTTGAAGATTTGGATAGTCTATCTCTTCTTTCAACAGTATCAAATAGTAATAATAATATTCAAAAACAAACAAATATTGCAGATTTCTTAAAAGAAAATCCTTTACCTGTTGAAGAAAACTAGAAATTTATTTAGCCAGCAGCAGTTGATGGATCAATAATTGGAGTATTCTCAACTGGTTGTTCAACAACAGGAGTTTCGTCTGGTTGTTCAATAGCAGCTGGTTGTTCAATAGCTGGTTGTTCAACAGCTACTGGTTGTTCAGCATCAGGTTGAGCAGCTGGAGTTTCAGTTGGTTGTTCAATAGCAGCTGGAACAGGAGTTTCATCTGGTTGTTCAATAGCAGCTGGTTGTTCAATGGCTGGTTGTTCAAGTGGAGTTTCGGTTGGTTGTTCAATAGCAGCTGGTTGTTCTTGTGGAGTTTCAGTTGCTTCCTTCATGGTATGAGCAATTTGTTCAACAGCTTCCCAAACTTGATGGGCCTTTTCAACAGGATTTTCAGTATTCAAAATTTGTTCAACTTTTTCAACACCTTGTTGTCCCTTAGAAATTCCATTTTGTCCTTTTTGAATGACTGAAAGGGCCTTATTGATAAACTTATTCTTACCACCTGAATAACGTGTTATTGAACATAAAGATATAACTACATACCAGTCACTTTGTTGAGGTTTTGGAAAATATCGTTTCCAGTACCAAGAACGTTCTGCATTTTTCCTAAGAAGTGTTTGATTCCTTCTGGATTAACAGCAACATTACCCTTATTATTCTTTAAAAAGAAGTTTTTAAATAAGTTTGGATCCATATTCTTAATGGTTTGTCTAACACCTTTAACACCACCAACAATTTCTCCACCTCTATTCAGATATTCTTGACCTTTACCTAATTTTTCCATAAGCTTATTCAATTTCTTACTTTTACCACCGTTCAATTGGTTAATCTTGCCAATAAATTCTTGACCATTTGAAAGAATACCTTGAGCTTTACCAATACCAGTTACAACTTCTTCAAGTCTTGACCACGTAAATTCTTCAAATTCTTCAAAGATCCCTTCAATCCATTATAACCATTCAAAGCATCATTACCAGCACCAACAGCAATTTTACCCTTATCTAAGAATCCCAAAAGTTTGTTCAACTTTTTGCTCTTACCACCAGTTACATCATTAATACGAGAAACAATATCTTGAGTCTTTGAAATAGCATTATCAGCCTTACCCAAGAATTTACCTAAATTTTGAGATGTAATTAATGACTTTAAGTCTTGTCCACGTAAATTCTTCAAATTCTTCAAAGAATTAACACCACCTTGAATACCCTTCAATGCATCTCCACCAATACCAGTGAAAGATTGAGCCTTATTCAAAAAGTTCAAACCTTTGTTAACAAACTTGCTCTTTCCACCTATAATTTTACCAAAATACCAAGTTAACAACAGTTAATAAATCAAAGAAAACAAACCTGTAATTGTGTTCAAATTTTGGAAAATGTCTTGTCCTTTACCAACAAGTTGTGATGCCTTTCCAAGGAAGTTTTGTCCCTTTTGGAAGATGTTTGCACCCTTAAACAATTCAGATGGTTTAAATTGAGAAGCCAATCCCTTCAATCCAGAAACATTTGAAGATAATCCCTTCAATCCTGAAATGATATCAGTACCTCTTCCTAAAAACATTTGACCTTTTCCAATAACACCTGAAACCTTATTCAAGAATCCAAGACCCTTATTCAAAAGTTTTGATTTACCACCTAATTTTTTTGAAAAGTTAAAGAAAAATGTGAAAGAAAATACGTACCAGTAACAGCATTGAGTCCTCCAAGAATAGCTTGACCTTTACCAACAAGAGAACCAGCCTTAGATAAAAAGCTGTGTTTTAAAATATATATATGTGTGTGTCAATAAAACACAATCCCTTCAACACAATAATACTTACGCAGCACCTTTAGCCAAACCAGCACCAAATGAACCCAATGAACCAGCCAAAGAAACACCACCAAGACCACCAGTGAAAGCAGTCAAAGCAATTGGAACAGCAATCTTGGCAACCTTCTTCAAGACACCACCAGCCTATTATTATTCAATTGATTTTTACATTAGAACATTATAATTGTAATATATAGAAGAAGAAATAATGACAAGTAGTACTACAAAAACTTACCTTTCTAACAAATCGTCCAATTCTTCTGAAAGCTCTTCTGAATTTAGCAACAGATTTAGATAATGCCATTGCTTCGGCATCACTTAAAGTAGCAACATAATCAAGTAAAACTTCATCAGCTTCAATATCAAAATTGTATGCTTCCATATCTGATAAAACCATTTCACAATGATTATCAAAAGATGGATGATCCATAGAGGAAGAGATCATTAATTGATCTGCTAAAATTTGTAATTCTTCTTCAAGTCTTTCTTCTTGTTGAGCAAAAGCTGTTTTAGTGGTAAAGCACAAAACTAAAGCCACACACAAAACAACCGCTAACAATCCTTTCAAGATAGGTTGCTTCATTATATTTTTTTTCTTCTGATGTTCTGTGATGTTACTTGGACCGTGTCACAACTTTTGACACTGACAGATAAATTATCTTCCGTTTCTTTATTTTGAAAGTGGCATTTGAATATTAACTTTAATAATAACAAATATTATTTATTATGTACAATAATAATTGAAGTAGAGTTTGTTATTGTCTGCTTCCTAAAGTGTGTTTAAAGAAAAATGTGTGTGATTAAAATATGTGTGAATGGACAAAATGTGTAAAAAATATATATATGAAGAGAGAGAGAAATATGTGAGAGAAGAGTTGAGAGGACTGTGGTGTCATTTGTGTGGATATGATTTGTTCAACTTGAAAAAATGTAGATCTCAATCTCCCTCAATCATATATGTTTGGTGCTTTGATTAATTTTGGATATGTGGTGTGTGTAGTCATATCATCATCATGATCATCATAATGGAGATGAATTACATCATTAAACATTTCTTGTCCTTTGCATCTTTGACAGCCTTTTTATCTTCAACTTCCTTTGCATGTCTAACTTTCATTACAGCATCAATAGCAGCATAGAAAACTTCCTTTAAACCATCTTGAGTGATGGCAGAACATTCCTTATAATCAGCACATTGAAGTTCAGCAGCAAGTTTATGTCCTTGTTCAGTTGTAACTGGTGCCAATTCCTTCTTTTGAAGTTGTTGAATAACTTCAGAATCATTACGAAGGTCAAGTTTTGTACCAACTAGAACAATAGGTACATCAGGACAATGATGTCTCACTTCTGGTACCCATTTACTTGAAATATTTTCAAATGAATCAGGATTAATAATAGAGAAGGCACACAAAAAGACATCAGAATCTGGATAAGAAAGTGGTCTAATACGATCGTATTCTATATTTTGTTTTCAATGGATGGATTGATCATTTGTGTAATATATGTGATAATATAATAATAATCAAATATATATAATTGAAATGTTTGTTAATTATTTATCAAATATATAATAACAAAAGAAATTTACCTTCCTATTAATATATGTGAGTATGTGTAGTTTCAGAAAACACACACAAAATATTTAAATCAAATTGTGGTAGTGTGTGTGATGAAAATTTACCAAGAGAGAGAGTTGTTAGTTTTTGTGTCATTTAGAATATAGTTTTACAATTCAGAGTAAGAAAGGGGAAATATTCTCTTGATGAGAAAACTTACTTGACCAGCAGTATCCCACAAACCACAAATAAAAACTTCATCCTTATAATTAACATTGGCGTTATAATTGTCAAAAACAGTTGGAATGTAATTAGTATCTACAACCTTTCCATAGGCAAAAGACATGAGAAGGAGAGTTTTACCAATAGCACCATCACCAACAGTAACAAGTTTAATTTCGATTGACATTTTTCCAACACTTGATGTCTTTGAAGTATTTTTTTGAATTGTTTGACATGTGTCATGTCTTTGCTAAAATATTCTTGATGGTGAGAGGTTTTGAAAACCATCACAAGAAACTTGTCCAAGAATCGTCAAACAAAAATCATCAATTTAAAATGTCTTCTTTGGAATGAATTGAAATGTTTGAATTCAATCTTTGATATGAAAATCCTCTCTCTCTTATGAATAATTTTGGTGCATTACATCATCATGTGATGACATAATTCAAATTTATTTATTATTATTTATTATTTAATAAGAACACACGATGGAATTATTTTCAATATATAAATATTAATATTAATAGGAATATATATCTTAAATATTATATTGAAATTGATCTTCTCACACTATTTATTTAAATAATAATATACAATTACTTCTTGATTGGAACATATTTGTCTACTTGGATATTAGAGCATACATTTGACTTTTTTGTACAAATAGTTCTTTCACCATACTTGACACATTTCTTGTGACCACCAACGAATTGATATTTAGCACAGACCTTATAACCTGGTGACTTCTTGACACATTTCTTCCAGTGCTTCTTCTTGATACATCTTGATTTGGTATGATGATATTGAGTACAAAAGTTGACTGCCTTATAATTGGCACAGAATTTACGTTCCTTGAACTTTTCACAAACTCTAACTCTCTTCTTAACATCACAGAATTGATTTGGAGTCCACTTGGTACAGAAACGAGCCTTCTTTTGAGCAACACAGAACTTTCTATCAATGAATTTAACACATCTCTTAGTGTAACCCTTCTTGAGACTGAATTTAACCTTATTATATCTGATACACTTCTTTGTCTTTGTGTATTTGGCACAAATCTTGTGACATTTTTGTTGACAGAAAGCATGATAGTAAGTATCAGTCCATCCCTTATAGTGTTTACCTTGAACCTTCTTCCATCCCTTTTGGCATTTACAGACTTGCTTATAGGCAGAACAGTAAGCATCGAGTTTGTATTCAGCACATCTCTTCTTGTAATGATAGCCAACTTTTGGAACATTGATGAATTTAGCACAGACATTTGACTTGTCATACTTGGTACAAACGAAATGATAAGCATATTCATCACAGGCATTGTTCTTTCCCTTATGTTCACACAGATTCTTCCATGTTGACTTGATACAATACTTTTCACTCTTATGTTTATCACAAACTTGTTTGTAACCTTTTGAAAAAGTTTACAAAAATTTTGTAAAATTTCAAATAACTTACCATGACCCAAACATAATTTTCTAGATTTGGAATATTTATCACACTTGCTGAATCTCTTATATTTCAAACATTTTCCTTTACCAACCAACTTCCAATCGCAGCACTCTTTCTTAGTACCAACCCATTCATAATCAGAACATTTTCCCTTTACACTTTTGTAATGAGTACATTTCGAATAACAAAACTTTTGATGATCTGCATAACTATCAACAGGTTTACTCAACTCTGTTGCCTGAATGAAAGCAATGCAAAGTGAAAGTATCAATAATATTGTTGCAATCTTCATATTTGTTTTTTTTATTCTAAATAATAAATTGCGAAATGTGATATTTAAACCAACCACAGTTCAAATCAAAATGTCATACATATATGAAAATGATACTCTTCAATTCATTTTACTCAAAGTCAATTCTAAAACAAGTTTATACAATTCTCAATAGTATTTGTACCATATCAGAAAAGTGGTCATTGAAGTTGTGAGAGTTTGTTGCAAAAATTATTTTATGACCAAACACATCAAAAAAAATGTCAGGCAACAACTTTAATTACCAACCAATGCCACCATCACATTTTTACACTTCTTCCTATTCTTATAATAATAATAATATTTTACCGTCATCATTCAATAATATTGTCAGACCTCCAATTATTACACCACCATCCATTGAAGAATATGAAAAGATGATCCAAGAAAGAAATGAAAAACTATCCACCATGGTTTTTAATAATACTCCCTACAAGAATATAATTATAAATCATCAACAAAACAAATCATCAGATCAAAAAATTCGTATTGGATCAATAATAGATCCTGATATTGTGGAGGGTAGAGAAAAATTTTCCATTCCTAAAGAATGGTTACCTTATTTAGAACATTACAAAACATCTGTTGCATTTATAAGCTCAGATGAATTTGAAAAGATTGGTGTTAATGAAAATAATATTGAAAATATTTTGAGATTGATGAGATTGTGGGATGAAAGTAGATTGACTCTCAAACCAGAAGAAGAGGCACAATGGGCTTATAAAGCTCTAGATGCATCATCAGAATATTCTCCATCATGGAGTCCATCTAATCTTACTGGTTGTTCAAATACCTATCCTAAACATGGTACTGTATTTTTTTATTTTCATATATATTTTACTAAAATTTAAAGGTGACTTTACAACTGCTTGGGCTCCAAAAGATGAAAAAGGTAAAATGGAATTTGTAATTTTAGAATTTAAAAATTATTACAAAATTAGAGGAATTCAAATTTTTGAAACCAATTATCCAGGAGCTATTGTTACAATATCATGTTTACCAAGAGGAAAAGACAAGTACCAACAAGTAATCGATGGATCAATTGTAGGATCAACAACTTTTGAAGAAAATGATTCATGGGTAGTACTCTATCAAGGTAATCCTCAACAACGAGAAATACCAATGAATTCTAGAATATTCAATCCTACACTTTATCCTACAAATTTCGATTCTAAAATAATCAGATTGGATATGGATACTACATTATCAAATTCTTGGTCTGAAATTGATGCTGTTAAATTAATAGGAATACCATCAACAATAAGAGAAGAAGAGGAATATTGGGTCTCCTCCATTGTTGACTTTTCATCAGAATATAGTGGATGGCCAGTGACTAATATTATTGGACCTTCAAGAGTATTTCCAAATTATGGAGATATAAGAGAGGCATGGTAAGTTTTATATACTTTTTTATTAACAAGTTTATACAATAATTACAGGGCACCTTCAAAATCACGTAATACTATATCATTGGAGTTTGTTATTTTAGAATTTCCACAATCTTTATCAGCTAAAAGAATTGATATTTTTGAAACTTTCAATCCAGGAAGTTTAATTAGAATAATAGGATATTCAACAAATCCAAAAACTGATATCTACTCAACTCCATATGTTATTTATTCAGGAATGGCTAATCCACAACTAGAAAAAGTTTCTAGAATTAATTCTATTCAGGTTGGCAATGAATTCAGCTCAATTCCAATCAAATTTTTAAAGTTAGAAATAGATACAAGTGGAAATTCAGGATTTTATGAAATTGATGCTGTAAAGTTAATAGGCTATAGTTTTTAATTACTCTTTTCCTTAATATCAAGTTTAACCATTGTTCTGAATGGATCATAATAAGTCATTTCAGCTTCTTCTACACCATGACCAAGTAAAGTCATATATTTCCACAATGTAGATTTGGCATTTGCTGCTATAGCTGTCATAATGTGCCAAAATACATGTAAATACAGAAAATAAACATTTGGACAAAAATAAAATTCTATTGCCCAAAGTATGAAAGCAACCAAGAAGAATACGAAATAAATTAAATAAACTCGTCTAACATTTCTAGAGCAGGCATCAATTTTTTCTTGAGAAGCATGTGGTAAAACCTTTTTAAACCATATCTCTAAATTATTTCCTCTATAAACATGAAGAGCTTCTAGTAGTGTTGAGATATTCAATAGAGCAGCAAAAACATAAACGAAAATAGAATAACTGTCAGAAACCCAAATAGTTGAAATTGAATGACCAACTGTCACAAATGTCAATACACTTGAAACTAGTATATTATACCATAAACATTCATCATCTTCCTTATTTCTCAATAAGAACATGTGTATTCCAAGCATTACAGCAACAACCATAGGAATTTCATCAAAGTATTGGAAAAATCTTGTAAGGGTACAATGTAATAGAGCACTTCCCAATCCAAGAATCATTGAACATACACTACTTAAAACAAATCTCCAGTAAAACCTATTTTTCTTTCCATAACAATATTTGAACGTAAAATAAAGATGAGAGATGGAAATTAAACAGTAAACCAATGAAGAAATGGTATTGGCAGGCTCAGCAATAAATGAAGTATGTTGGAAATTGGCTTCACAAAAATCAACAGTTGACGTTATTAATGTCTTTCCTGCATCATCCCGAGAGTAGAAAGATGGATATCCCTCAAAAGATGAATGGCTTTGGTCTGCTTGAAGCATTTTTTTGTTTTGTTAATTGAGTGATTTTTTGAGGTGAGGTTGGAGATTAATTTTTGGTCCGACAGATTAGGGCGCACTAAATCAAGAACAGAACCTCAATAAGCAAGAGAAACAATTTTAGACATGACAAGGAGATTAAATTTATTTATTTTACAACAATTAGTGATTAAATTTACAATCTTTTGATGATTAATTTGCTTGGTGGTGATTGAGGATTCTTTTTACATCATTCCATTCTTCTTGTGTAAGCAAAACATGTCTGCAATTCCACTAACTTTTTCAAATAAATGTCTTTCTTCATCAGAAGACATTTGACCATCTAATTCTCCCTTTCTTAAAATCCCCCAATTTGTAAAAATGAAGTGTACTGCCTTATCATGAATATCTTGTTCTTCTCCTCTTGTTGCAAGAGAAAATATTCTTCCAACATTTTTCAATGTAATGGAGGTAGACATTTTCTTTGCATATTCACCAACAATACCAATTAAACCCATTCTTTCTGCCAAATTGAATAATTCAGTTAAATCTTCATCAGATGAAATTCCTTGCTTCTCACAACTTGATTCAAAATCTTCAGTGTAACAATATTGTATTATTGCTCTAATATGTTTTTCTGATGATGGTTGGAATTGATCCAAATCAATTTCCATTGGATTTGACAACATATTCTCCTTTCTTTCTCTCATATATTTAGCAAAATTTTCAGGAGCAATATAAGGTGTTGAGGATTGGGGTGGTGTTGGTTTGTTTGAAACTTGAGAAAGTACATTTCTAAATTTTGTACAATGACAAGCTAAAACCAATCTATGCATTTGAATTGGTTGTTTTAAATATTTTGATTTAAGAGCCAAATCTGCTAGAGGCATCTTTTCATAAATGGTTGGCATTGAATACTTTATCCATTTTGAGGTTGAGGTACCGGATGTTTTGAGAAACTCTTCAACCTTTTTATATTGAGGAAACTCCTTGTCAATTTTACCAGTTAAAATATATTCTAAGGCTTTGATAGTAATGTCAGTATCATATGTTGTTTTATAAGTAATAATACCATTCTTCTCCTTCTTTAAAACTTGAAGTTCAGGTGCATTGTTTTGAATAAATAATTGATAGAATGGAATAGAATCTCCTGTTGATGTTGTAAGAATGGCGTCATACAAGTGAGGATACTGATTATTGATTTCATTTCTTGAAAGTAAATATTTGATTGAGCGACCTGGATGTTTAGAGGATGACATTTTTTTCTTTCTTTTTGAAAACTTACAATATTATGACCACAATTTAAACACTAAAGTTGACCACAGATGATTTAATAATTGAAGTTGAAAGATGGAGGAGATAGACACGAGTCCTCTCTTCAGAGATAAGGTGCGGATGTATAGTAAGAATATTAAGAAATTACTTTGGAAATTGCTCTAAATACTGTTGATACCCACAACATGTAAATCATATGAACCAATACAACAATACCCAATAGAATAAATCCGTTTGTTTTCTTTACAACTTGTTTTGGTCCTGATACATTTTGTAAACTTGTTTCAGCTGTTCTTGAATAAAAAGTCAAACCAAAATTAATACTTCCTGATAACCCAATTGTAAAATATAACAAGTATGGAATAATTGTCGATAAAGATCCAGCTCCATATAAAACAAAAACGACAACTTGAATGAGGCAAATAGGCACAAGTTGATATCCTGTAATGCATAAAATAGAAATTAAACTTAAATTACATCCAAGAATTAATCCAGCAATAAGGAAGAAAATAGATGCACCAATCCAATAAACAAATGATGCGAATAAACTTGTTCCAATCAATGTTCCTTCATTCTTTCCAATTTGATTATATTTAATAATTATTGTTAGAAGGTTTCAATAACATATTGTTAATAGATTTGATGATTAATTATAATGTGTGAGTATTAATTGCAATAAAACAATCAAATTTTCATTATTATTGTTAGTATATTAATTTCCTTTAAAATAAACCTACAACATGAACATCAGAAAACTTCATTTGAAAATCTAATATTATAGCTAAAGTAAATGTAGCAACAAGTGGAACAAATAAATCCGGTTCCTCAATGTGATTGATCATGGGGTTAAGAGGTTTAACAGAGTTGATTATTCTCTGAAAAACTTGTTTTTCTTCTAAATTAATAAAGTATGGTTTTAAAAATCCGAAGGAAAACCATGATGGTACGACTTTGGAAGTTGTGCTTTGTAGCATTGATTTAGCAAATTGAAATTGAAAAGAATTCGTAAGCTCATCCTCATCTTGATCTGGTATTGTTGGTGTGGATGTTTTCGTTGTCTTGGGTTTACTTTCTTCCAGTGATGAGAGGTTTTCATCAAAGTTTGATTCTATCCAATCAGAGTTGTTATTATTCATGATGATATTTTTTAATAAAATATTATTAACAAAATATTCGGAAAGAAATAAAATCTTCATAATAAATCATCTTTAAAAGTTGAATCATTTAATAAACTAAATAATTAGTGATAATAAGTCATCTTTATAATGAAAACATTTGGGAGGGGAAAGTGAAAAACCAACAGATAGAACTTCAACAAAAAATGGCACCTCATAAACGCATAGGACAAATTTAATTTCTCTTTTGAATTTTTAAAAAAAATGACTAAGAAGAACAATCCATCTCTCCCACCACAAGTGGAGGATTTGAGAACAAGAGTTCGTGTTGGTAGACACGCTCCTACACAAACATCAACAATTAGCTATCACTCTAGTTTTCAAAATTTAAATTATGATAATAGTTTTTCTTTAGAGGACTTTCAAGAAAACTTACGGATTAATATTCTTAAACGTGATGAAAATGATTTAGTATTTGAAATGATTGGAATTGATGCTCCTATTGCTAATGCTTTCAGAAGAATTATGTTATCCGAAGTTCCATCTATGGCTATTGAAAAAGTTGTTTATTTAACAAATACATCTATTATTCAAGATGAAGTCCTTGCTCATAGAATTGGTTTGGTACCAATTAGATGCGATCCAGACTTTTTCTTCTTTGCTAGGGATATTAATCAAAATGAAGATATTAGTGCATTTGCTCCTCCACAAGAAAGCAAGTACAAAAACACGAATGTTGACTCTGATGATTCTGATGATGATGAAATTCATCCACCTTTACCAACAATGGCTACCTATGCACCATCTTTAGCAAACAAATCTACACCTTTTTGGCAACCTCCAGAAGTTTTACTTGATAACGAATATATTTTATTTGAGTTGAATGTTACTTGTGAAAAGACATTGGTTCCAAATCCACATAACCAAAACAAACTTGAATACAAGCATTCTAAAGTCTATTCAGGTGATTTAAAGTGGGTTCCAATAGGAAATCAATCAACTCACTTCAATGGAGAAAATGCAATTAGACCTGTTTATGATGATATTTTATTAGCCAAGTTGAATCCTGGACAATCTATTCACGTACAATGTTATTGTGTTAAAGGAATTGGTAGAAGTCATGCTAAATGGCAACCTGTTGCTACTGCTACATATCGTTTAATGCCAGAAGTTGTTTTTAAAGGAGAACCTGTTACTGAACTTAAACAAGCTAAGGAACTTGTTGAAAAATGTCCAATGAATGTATTTGATATTGAAGATTCTCCACAAACAGAATTTGATTCTAAGGTTCGTGTTGCTCGTCCAATGAATTGTACAATGTGCAGAGAATGTATTCGTGAAGATAATTGGGACAAGAGAATTCAATTATCAAGAGTGAAAGATCATTTCATTTTCTCCATTGAAAGTGTTGGTTCTATACCAGGTGGACCAGCAGAAATTTTCAGACGTGCTCTCAAGATTTTCTGGCAAAAGTGTGAAGCACATTTGATTAATTTAAGAAATAATCCAATAGGTTCAAGACAAACTACTTCATCCGAAACGAATGAACAAGATGATGTTGAAATGAAAGAATCATCAAAGAAGGATAAGAAAAAGAAGAAGAAAATTTTACAATAAACTATTTTAATAATAATTATATTAATAATAATTGAATAATTTCAACAAAATTAATTTCAGCAATTTGTTTGAACAAGCTTGTAAAAAAAAGAACAACAATAAAAAAAATGACCAACAAGAGAAAAGCAAATGCTCCACCAAAAGATTTCAAGAAGGAAGTATGTAAATTTGTGATGATTTAATAATAACAATCGGAATAGAAAAAAAAAGTGGGAAGAAAATTAAAACCAACAAATTATACAAATATCGAATTCAAGACAAAGGGTATTTATATGGCCCACCAAAATTTGAGAACTGTAGATACATTGGAAAGTAATTGGGTTACAAGCAGAAATATTGGATTACAGGATATATTTCCAAAGTTAAAACACTATAATGTAAAAACTGTGGTGTCTGCTATGAAAAGTCTTTTGGAGTTAGTTACTCTACATCCTATTGTCTTGAAAGTTTATTTGGGAAAAATATTAAATGAAATATCACATTTACTCTTAATGGGAGAAGATGAAATTCATGCAGCATTATATAATTTCTTGAGTTATAGTTTACCTAAAATATCAAGCGTAAGTTTGAGATAATTTGAACTTTTCCAATATTGTTTAGGCTTCTATCACTCCATTTATATCATTATTAATGGCTTATCTTACATCGGGAATGACTCATCTTATTGGAGCTGTTAGAAGATATTCATTAAAGATTTTATCAAAATTTTTGGAACATTTTCCAATACCAATTTCCCAATATGCAGTTAGAGTAATGCCTAATATTTGTTACATTTTCATGTTGAGCAGAACAGGAGTCTTATATAAGGGAGCAAGATATAGAAGCTTACAACAATTATGTGTTACTGTATTGGATAATTATCTTTCTGTTTTATTTGAAAATAACAAACTTGGAATACCATCCAGTAAAAAGGTTAATCATACACATACACACAACCACATGAAAATGAACCTGACAAATATTAATTCATCATCATCTCAATCAACAGGTAATATTTACTTTTCTAACAATAGTTCTGAAAAGGCTCAATATTCATTTGATAATGTGGACCAAAAGAAACTTCACTTATTGAATCAATTGTTGACTAGAAAGATGGCTGTTCAAGATAATCTAGAAGAAAAAACAGTTAAGTTGGATGCTGAACAACTCCTAGAAGTTGGAGATGAAAAGAAAGTAGAACAAGAAGATAATGATAACAAACCATCTGAATTACCATCTCTTAGAAAATTATTACAAGAAGAAATGCAAATCAAAGTTTATAATTTAGAGGATGAAGAATCTATTGCTGAATTCTTTAAATTAATTTTCCATATACTTGTTGAGGTTTGGATTGAAATTTTTGAAGAACAAAGAGCTTCTGCAGCTAGTCACCATATTCAAACCGAATATGTGCTAACTGTTATCAAATCTGTCTTAGATATTGCTTATCAACTTTTATATGCCTTTGAACACACTCAACAAGGTTCTCAAACTAAGAATATTAACAGCAAAATTGTAAATAAGGCATTGAAGAAATCATTGAACCACTTTGTTACAAAGTTACCACTTCAACTTTCTTCTAAAATAAGACAAACAACAAATAGTATTGATAGAACCAATGCAAGCTTGCTTTCAATGCTATCATTTGCATTTGGAAAGTTTAGTACAGAAAAGGAAAGTAGCGAGATTACTTACAAAGAGTGGGAACTTGTTTATTTAAAGCAATTTTCATACTTTTTATCAAGTGCAGAATCACTCAACTTGCATGATGAGGATTTTGCAAAACTTCTTGGATCATTCTATAGAATGTACAAATATTTACCACCTTCAATAGGAGCTCAATTATGGAAACATTTAACTAGTTTGTTTGTTAAACAAGGAGCTTATTCATCAAAGCAACAGTTAATTTTGGAATTCTTTGCTAATGTTGGACTTAAAGATGAGTCAATTACACCTCCTCCAGATGTTATTGAACAGTGGGTAGCAGTATTAGTACCAATGCTATGCCAATTAGATGAAAAACATTATGAATTAAGCAAACATATTCTTAATGTTTTACTTGGACTTGCTAAAAATCCAAAGTTCCAATCTTTCATATTGAAACAAGTCAATCAATCAATTGTTCCATTCTATTATGATGAAGAAAAGAAACAATTTGGACCATTTGTAAATCTACCAAAATATTTACAATCCCTATCACTCCAGTTAATTTATTATTTTGATGTTTTACCTCCAGAGTTAATGAAACAAATATCAAGAGCATGCTGTAATACAGAAAAGAGACTAAATTTCGATTTGCTTACTCAAGTCATTGAGGTTGTGAGACATCATACAAACAATGCAAGCAAGCAAAATAAGCTTAAGCCATCTGTACATATTAGTTTCCTGTGTACTATCCTGTGTTTTGTTTGCTCTCCAACTGGTGAAACTAACAACCAAATTGGTCTTGTTGGTGTTGGTGATGTTATACAAGAAATCATTGTTTCACTTCAAGATTATTCCACTACTATCTTTTCAAAGTTGGTTCCTTTCTTAAGAAATAATTTGGAAAAACAAGTTAAAACTGAAAAGCCAAATATTACACTATTGGGAGCTTTATTACAAATATCCGCCAAGACTATTAGTTGGACAAACATGGAGCAAATTGAAACAACAAATCTCTCACTAATTGAAGAACTTATACCGAAAGCTCTGGTTTGTTTCCTCAAACATACAATTCTCCAACAACGAAGATCAAAATCATCTTCCATTATTACTAGAGAGATTTTAATCTCTTATTATCCAACCTTGAGAAATATTATCAGTTTACTAGATAATCAAATTTCAACACTTGAGCCTCACTTTGTTTTGGATATTATTTTAGTTTGTATGAAAGTTGCTCTTTCTCATTATCATACCAATAAGGGAGAATCAACAACATTAATACAACAAATTGAACAGCAATGCAAGACACTATTTGAGAAGAATGAGTTTGTTGAGAATGAGTACTCATCAAAGAAGAATCAAATTTTAGGTCTTTTAAAGATGAATCAATAAATTAAGTTTACTATATATTGGCTGAAGTGTTTGTTAATTTTACGAAATATTGTTGGACCAAATTGAGCACTTTTGGCTTACCAACAAAAACAGTTTTAAGCTCGTGGACAACTTGAATACACTCTAAACAGAGGAATGGGAATGCTCTTGATAATCTCAATAATGTATCCAATATTTCCTTTGCATTGGATAACTCTTCCTGTTGATTTGCTGAATGTTTGCTTGTAAAAAGATCAATACTTCCTTCTGGTGATGACATGTTGTTTGCTATTAATACAGATCTCTGGTTTGCAATTAATTTTAATTTAGCAATGGCTGACCTTGCAACATCAATATATCTTTGTAAAGGATACTTTTCGCATATAAATGAGGCAAGTTGTACTGCAAACATTTGCTGATTAATTTTTGGTTGATTAAGTAATTCATTAATAAAATCCATACATATATGGATTGAATCTATAAGGGAGACTGTAATAGGTAAAAGGGCAGGATTATAGGTTTGGAAGTGTATTAATTTAGATATTGGAGGATTTTCAATAAATCTTTGATGTATAAATTGGCAAATTTTTCTTTGAATAATTCTCATATCGGTACTCCCATTATCTTCATGAATTGAAGAATTATCTTTGGAAAAAAGGTTTGGATTTAAATATTCTAACAAAAGTTGAAGAATAGTACTTTCTTGAACTTTAGAAAAGCTGTCTTTCAAGACAGCTTCATTTGGTACAACTTGTGTAACATATTTTGAAGAAGCAGTCATGAAAAGAGATAATACTTGTAAGAAAATATCCAATAATGGTGGACACATAAAAACTCTTTGATCTACTTTGAATAATATCAGGATATTTTCATAGAAATTAATATAGGACATTTGGGAAGGGTTATATTCTTTTGGTAGTAGGACCTGTGCTGTCTTTAATGCTAAAGACATTGGATTTGTTTTTGAAAACATCCATTTCCACCACTCTTTAAAAGCATTGAAAACAAAATGTCTAACATTTTGGAAATTATACAAAAGACCATTATGGTTAGATACATCAAGCATGAATAATATTTGGTCTTCGAGTTTCTGTGAAATTTGCTTGTCATTTCTTAGATCATCAAGTACCATCTTTGTTTTGTTTTGGTCTTTCATTGGTGTCAAAATGATTTCCTCAATAACAACAGAGGTAATATGTACATTTTCTCTTGTTTCGTAATGAATCACACTCTCTGATAAGAGAGTTTCAAGATGGAATAAATATTGTAACTCTTCCACAACTGATAAAAGTTGACTATAAAAAACTTTGACTTGTCTTCTGTGTTCTTTGATGTATTTTACCACTTCTACAACATTACATTTCTCTATAATATTAGGTCCATATCTTTGTTTTTTAAAAATATTATTAACCGATAGAATATAATACAATAATAAAGCTCTAGAAACTTGATTAGATTTTGGATTTTCAAAAATCTTGGCAACTTTTTCTTCTTTGAATAATCTCATTTCAAATATTATTGTTGGATGTGGAGTACAATTACTAATTAATTCATCAATTATTTTTGGAATGAGATGATGCAATGTTGAGCGTGGGTTATCAACAGATTGAATATTTTCGAGTTGTTCAAACACCCAATCAGATGCATCTACAGAATGCTTTCTAAATAATTTACTTTTCAGCATTCTAAAAACACACTGAAGCACATAATCATTGTCTGAAGTATAAAAAGGAAGTGGAGTAACAGTCAATATGTCCTTGGCAAGCTTTTCCACAGGAAACAATTCAGAAATAAAAAGTTGAGAAATCTTATCTCCCAATTGTCTCTTCAATGTATTTTCGTCCAATAAATAACGTGATGGTTTGTAAGAATGTACTATTGTCTCACCTCCCGTTTGAGAACCTTGATTAGATGTACTTGTATTAAATGAACCATGGCCACTGTGTTTTGAATTTCTATAGACTGGATGAAGAGTATCCAATACAAAAGTAGAAATACTCTTGTAAAGCTCAGCATGAAAATTTGTGGCTAACAATAAGAGAATATTCTTAATAATAATTTTGTCAAAATGTGATGTACCTCCTTCAGTGTGCATAGAGTTGGCTACATCCATTAAAAACTTAATAAAATCTCTCAATATAGATACTATATTACTGTTAGAAGAGTTATCAACTACCATTAAATCTGAAGAAAGTGACGCAGTCAAATTTTCTCCACAAATAAATAGAAATGAGAATCTTAGTTTTGTAAGATGTATGCTAACTGGGATGTTTGGATTTGTGTTAATCACCATCGAAAAATCGTTTCTAAACACATTAAAATTTGAAAGAAGCATTAAAGCCGAGCATAGTCTCATTAAGGAACATGTTTCAGAAACAGATAAATCTTCTCTTTGGAGTTCACTAATAATAAGTTCTCTTATGATTGCTTGAGTTTTTGTATTTTGTTTGATACAGTCAAACAAGCAAGATTCCGAGGGTTTAGAATCTGTAAAAATGTTATTAGCACCACTCTCAAGTACTACATTGAAGCAGTTATTGAAGAAGCTACAATAGTCCTTTACACAATCAAATGTTATTCCAAGACATAGATCTGAAAATTTCTTGAACTTCATACAATAAAATCTAACTTTCTCTGCTATAACTCTAGAAAAAAGAGAGACTTGTTTTAGTATTGATTCCAACCTTGGTAAATAGAGACTTTGTGATGCAAATTCTCTTATTAAAAATTCAATTACTTCTTCTATAATATAAGGGTGGTTAAGCATGATTGAAATAATATATTTTTCGGAGAAACAATGTTGATTCTTATTTGATGATTGATCATCTCCGAAATATGAAGGTAATTGAAGACTGAAAAGAAACTTGATTAAATCTTTAAATAACCAAGTCAAGTGTTCTTCATTTTGTAAATTTTTTCTCCTATTAATTGCTGCCTGTATAATTGAATGATGATATTGGCCAACATTTGATGGAAATAAAAAGCAAGGCATTTGCATCAAACAAAAAGAAAGAATAAAACTAATCTCTGTAAAGTATACATCATTACAGAAAAGTATACTACTTGGATAATTTGTTGTTGAATAAATTCCAAATATTTCCTTCAAAACCATGCTAAAAAACTGTTGTTGGCAACTTGATAATCATCTTTAACCTACCTGACTCTATTTTGTGGATCGGAATTTTCAAAATTGATAGTTATATTATTATTGATAGGATTTTGTTGATTATTAGTAATGAAAGTAATAAAATCCTTCTCAATAGAATTCCAATCAACTTGTCTGTACTTGTTGCAAAGTCTAGAATATTCATTCAAAAAAGGGGAATTTAAAATGTTGTATAAATGAAGTTTGTTGTTGGAGTTATTTGGTGATTGGAAATGTTGATGGGAGAGGCAAGGAATGTAAAATTTTAGATCGTTTGCAAAAGGAGTCACTCCGTCAAATAATTCCAAATTACAATCGTTGTTATATACTATTTTCTTTAAATTAACAACTTCATGTTCTAAAATATCAAAAAGCCTAGATGTAATACACTCAAAAAAGAGGGACATGTCACCAATGTATTTTTTTTAATCTAAAAATTTTATTAAATTATTAAAATCACAAACAAAAACTAATTAGAATAGAAGTGGGAGTGTTTGAGATTCACGTTCTTCGGAATCTAATAACATTCTCTCAAAAGACCATTTGTTTTTTTGAAATCTAAATAGGGAACTATCATCATACCATTCACTTGATGGCTTCAGTATAAATTGTAATAAATATCTACAATTATCATCAAATTGTTTCTTTTTCACCTGAAGAGTCTCTCCTCCAAGCATCTTATACATTCTCTTTGATGAAGCGGATTTCTTCTTGTTGTTATTGATCACTAATCGACACTTTTCTACTAAAACTTTTCTAAGTTGAGTGTAATACTTTAGAAATTCTTTCTTTTTTAAAGAAATAGCCTTATCTTGTGTTGGTATTTTGGAAGATTCATACCTTAATTTGTCCAATAAAATTTTCACGTATTGTAGAAGTTGTTCCTTGTCTGATTCTGCAATGGATGGAGTATTAGTAAAGCAATCAGAGATACATTTAACCAGTAATTTAAATCTGTACAACAAATTTTCCTTCAGAAAAAGCTCTTGAATTATTTCAAAATAAATTGAAAATAAGGAAATATCTCTGATAGTAATACTGGAACTAGAGCTTTCACTCTTCAAGCTTTTGTTATCACAAAATTGCCATTCTTTTTCAGTGAATCTATTCAATAAAAGATTGACCTTTTGTTGCATTGAGCTTGACATAATGGTACCAAAAAGTAAGGCAAAAGTTTTGCTGTTGAAACTAAACTTGTGATAACTTGTTAAAATATCAGGAGAAAATTCTGGAATATTATTACTTGCTATTTTAGAGGTAGTAAACTTTACGCTATGAATTGTTAGTAGTGATGAAATAAGATTTAACTTACCAAAATATTCTATCATTAGATTTGATTGGTAGAATATTGATCGAAGCGTCTCCAATTTTAATTCTTCTTGGCATTCTATATTTGAGATTTTCGAAAAATTCCTTTTTGTGAATTTTCATCAATAAATATGGTGATTGGTCTCTCTTTTTTTCTAGATAATTATTAACCTTATCTAGAAAGAGGGTCTTGGAAGGTTTTTCTATTGGATAGAAAATACTTAAATACTTGGAATCAATAATATGAAAATTCTTTGAATAGTTTTGAGCATTATGCTCAAATAGTTGATTTCTGTAGTCAGATGAATCCAGAGAGTAGGGATAGCCAGTAACATATAGCAAACCGCTTTCATTCGGAGTTACAGTAGAATTGTTAAAATGTGAAACTATTCTTTCGTATTTCGGAGTATCTGATGATGTGGTAAAGAGAGTAACTAAAATTAGTGAATCTTTAAAATATGGGAAAATGTCCCTATTATTCTTATCATCGCCATGATATCTGGAATCCCAAACATATAAAGCAAAACCTATAGATCTGAGTAATCTTTTGTAATACAGGTATGCTTTAGAGGTTAGATGATTACTATCCGTAACTAGTAATGCTTTTCCTAGATTAGTGTTATGATAGTTACTTGAAATGGATTTGTCTGGTATTAATACTATTGTTTGAACTTTCCTTTCTATGGTATTTCCTTTATATTCTAACTCTATTATCAAATGGAATTTTCTAAAGCCAAGAGTTTCTTCATCAATTTTCTTATGATTCAATATCTGTAATGCAAAATTAAGTGTTGTCACTCTTTCTGTTAGTTTTTTCTCTAGAGTAAATGCCAAGTCCTTTTCAATAACCTTCATATCTTGAGGTATGGAGGAAATAGACTCAATTATAGAAAGCTCTGGGTCCATTTGAGAATTATGCCTATCAAATTTGTTTCCAGTTTCTTGTATTAAAAACACATTATCTGTGAATATTCTTTCTGTATCAACATCTTTGTTAGTAATGTAAACCTTGATACTGGAACCAATAAGGGTATGTTCAGTCTTGTTTTCTATTGAAATGGTAAATTTTTGAGAATTATTGGAAATACCCAGTGCAGATGGACAGTCAAACGAAGAAAGAGATAATGGATAATAAATAGGCATGTCACATAATTGGCCTTGAGATAATGTTAAGCCGTCTTTCTTTCTAATAGAATAACTCAGGCAACATGATTGAGAAGTAATTTGTTGTGGCTGTTTAACTTGCTTTCCAACCAGTAATCTGAGAGGGAGAGGTAATTTAACACTTTCTCCTCCGCTTAGAGTTGGTAGTGTTAATTGGTTATTGGATTCTGATGATTGATTTAACTTTAAAGAATTAGAAAATCCAAGTACATCAGCAAAATCATTTCCCTCAAATTCTATAAAGCAATAATCAGGTGCAGATAAGCCTCCTGTATTCTTAATTTCAATATCTGTAATTGCCAATTCACATCCAGGTTCAATAAAGTGAGTTGGATCTACTAGATCCAGCTCTGAAGAGTCAAAATTGTCATCCTCTAATATCAAATTATGACCTAAACTTTTTTCTTTGATAGCATTGGCTACAATCTTTACATTGAATGACATCACTCTCAAACTGAAAGTTGTATTGGCCTGTTCTATCACATCTCCAGTTTGTTTAGAAACTACAATATACTTGATAACACCACTTCTTCCCTTTCTACCATTGACACCTTTCCAAATAGAATTATTTTTGGTTTTTGTTTGATAGCCACTAAAACCTGTGTGTGAAGGTGTCTCAAAGAAACTCAATTTGGAAAATGTCAAAACACTTGATTGACTGGTAATAGTAGAGAGTGGAACCTCTGGTGGAAGCACTATTGAATTAACATCAAAATCACCAAAACTACTTTCTATGTAGGGATCTCCTCCATTCCCACCTTCACAACAAATTTTTAAATATTGTTCATCCAATAAATACTTGATATGTTCCTCAATTACAATAGTTACATTTCCACCATCTCCACCATCTTTACCCATTATTGATTCATTACTGCTGTTATCAAATGAATCACCAAAAAGTTGACTTGTTGGACAACCATTACCTCCTGTTCCACCTTCTGTAGTGATGAAAATATGAGGTTTTCGGGAAGAGAAATTTTCCAATTCATAAACCTCTTCAACAGTATCATTTTCATTGGTAGGAGAAGACATAAAAACAGAAACTCTCAAAGTATCCTCTAGTAATTTGATGAGTACCAGTAGGTGTCTACCATCTGCTCCTATTTTACCTAATCTACCATTAGAACCAGAACCATCAACAACTAACTGTTCATCGTTTTTCAACTCTATAATTTCAGATTCATAGATGGATTGTGTTGTAGAATAGTTAGTTGTATTTCCTTTCGTGTCCAAATCTGTATGTTTTCTTTCCGAGTTGAATAATTTGAAATCAAAATTATTCTTATAGTGATTAATATTGTTATTATTTATACTATTGTTCTTCAGGTCTAGCTTTAATCTAGAGAGTAGTTCATTCATTTTCTTTCATCTTGCCGTTAATGATGAGATTAGTCTTGTATGTTACCAAGCACAAACACCATCTTTGTTATTTGCTCATAAAACTGAAATTCTATTTTTTTAGAAAATGCTCAAATTTAATTAAAAGGACTTTATTGAAATAAAACTAATATTACTTTACAAACATAATATTATTTTACAAATAAGTATTATCTATTGTTCTATTAATACTAGACCAATAATCCAATTCCCTTCCAAAGAATTCTTTCACCACAAAGAAAATCCTTTGTTCACACCAAAAGCCAAACATTGCAACAAGTTCGAAAAAAAAATGAACAACAATCAACAACAACAAGACCAGATTTTCCAAAATCTTTTGCAGGCAATTCACATCATCCACAACTCTTCTTCACCACAACAACAAAGATTGGAGGCTCAACAGGTAAATATTAAAATAATTTTTTAAACTCATAATGAAAAGTTTGTTGAAAACTTTAAAACCAATCAACCAAACAAGATTGATTTTTGTTGGACTTTTATTAATAATAATCAACCGGAAGAAGTTAGACATTTTGGATTGCAAATAATTCATCATATTGTTAGTAGAGAATGGCCAACAATACCTTCAACCTATCAATCAACACAAGCAAAAATTAAAGTAGCACAAACACTATTGGATTATGCAGCATCGGGCACAAAACACATGTTGGAAGAAAAATCATTTATCAAGGAAAAATTAGCTTCAATATTGTCAATAATAACAGAACTAACTTGGCCATCTGTGTAAGTTGATGACAAATAGTTTTATTTCTTATTAATATTTTAGAATACCTGACATGTTGGAAAATATTGTTAAATTAACTGGTATGGGAGAAACACAACGAGAAATTGCTATTATCACTTTGAGATCCTTAGCTCAAGATTTGACAAGTGATTTTGCTACTGATATGCCACCTAATAAGAGAAGAGATTTAATCGAAAAATTGCAACCAAAGATTCCAGACATTTTTACAATGGCATTTCAATTATTTGATACTTCATTTGGAATTTATAAGTCTAAAAATGACCAAAAGTCATATACTATTAATCAAAAATTGCTTAGGTCATTAATAGACATGAGCATGGCATTTGTTAGCGATTGGCTAGATCCAGCTCACTTTTTCAATCATAATATTATTGACATTTGGATTAGTTTAATGCATGTTGAAGAATTTAAAATGGTAAGTGATTTAAATTGTTGGAATTATTCTTTAATAATTTTTTTAGGATTCAAGTCATTGTTTAACCGAATTTGTAGATGTTTCATGGGGTTCAAAGAAAGAACTAAATATGGCTAATCACATGTCTATTCTTTTAGCTAAATTATGTGAAAATGCTAGAATTATTCTTGGAAAAGCTAATCCTGACAATTTGGAAGATGAATATGAATTTCACAAAGTATTATCAAAGTTATTTGTTGCATTTTCTCAAAAGCAATTGAAATACCTTTCTGAAAAACATACTGAGATTGTAGACAAGTAAGTTTTTGTAAAACAATTAAGGTGTAACGTTCTTTTACGAAAAGTTTTTTGACAGTAGTATTGGAATTTGACAAACATCCTTCATTGGTTATTTTTAATGATACTCTTGTGATTTGGAATGGTATTTTCAGTAATCCAAAACTTCCTTTTTGTAATGCACCATTTTTGGCAAAATATTTTGAACCTCTTCTCCAAGTAACCAGATTAAAAATAACAAAAGAAATTGGTAATCCAGACGTGGAAAGATTCGAAAGTAATCTAACACATCAATTGTGTTTAATAGATTTCGAAGATAAAAAGGAATACTATCAACTTCATGGCTCTATGAGAAGTCAAGCAAGATCGCTTGTACAACACATCACACATAGAGTACCTTTTGATTCTGTTAAATTTGCAACTCTTCAAGTAACAGAGGCATTAAAGACAAACGCTCCAAATCCAAAAGATGACAAGGGACCTAATGGATACTGCAGTGTTTTTAGTGATGCTTATCTTTTATGGGAATCTTCAACTACATTTTATGAGTGGGTAATTGAAAGTGTTAGTAATGATAAAGCATCTGGTGATGAAAGAATAATTGAAGCTGAAATGTACTTGCTTGATATTTGCCTCAAATTTAGTACTGATGATCCACTTATTCAAACTGTATTTGTTAGACTTTTCAAATCTTTCTCTCATCTCAATAGAAGAAATAAGAATTCATTGATGGCAATCGCTGAAAATTTATTCAAACAAATGCAATTTAGACCAAGTAAGGAGGTTGGAAAAGCTGTTGAGGACCTCACAGAAGATACATCTTCAGCTAGACAAAAGGCTCACACAACTTTCATTTCACTTTGTCAATCCAATGCTAAAGATCTTCCTCAATTCTTAAAAGAGTTTGTTAATTTAGCAGAACAACTCTGGTCAAAGAAAGAAATTTTAAGTAACGAACTCATTTTAATGTATGAAGCCTTTGTAGTTATTAGTAATGAGTGGAAAGATTTTAATCAACAAAAGCAATTTTTAGATTATTTATTGAGTCCACTTATTAACGAACTCAACTCTAATTTATATAAGGAAGTTATGAATTCAGTACCACTACTTTACCAAGCATGTGGAATTTTAAACGAAGAAAATCAAGAAAAGAAGGCAAAATTAGAAGATATCAAGAGTAGAATATTCCATATACTAACAACAATAACAAGTTTGGCAGACAGAATGCCTGAAAATCCTCAGGATATGGGTATGGTAGATCCTTTGTCTAAACAAGTTAAATATCCAATTTCAACCTTCATTTTAGAAGTTTTACCAAATATTCTTGGATTGGTAAGAACCATTCATATGTGCTACACAGTAGAAGGTCAAAATCTAGTTCCTCAACAAGTAAGAAAATACATTTTACATATTGGTATTGATGAACAATACATGGCTCGTGGAGATGCTTTTGTACAGTCAAAGGTTTCATCTGAGCAATACACAATTCATAGAATCCATTATTACTTGACAAATTTAAGAAGATTGTGCTATCTATTAATAGGACAAGCTTGTAAATATTGTGATAAGGAATTGTTTTGGGCTAATCCATCTTTATTCCAAATGTTAACAGATTCTGTGTTTTCTTTTATTGAATTTATTGGTATTAGAGACCTATCATTGATGATGTTAAACTTTTTCCAAAACTTTTTCGAAAATATTCCAGAAGAATTACACAACACTTTACTTTTGAATATTTTGAAACCTCTCCTTTCACTTTTGGCATCAAGAATTGAAACAGCACAAGCAGAAATTTGTGATAAGGCTGGACAAACAATAGGAGATGAAGGAGTTCTTGATGAAATAGTTAAGGAAAAACACTTGAAAGAATTATCTTCTGTTGTTGTAAATATTATTTTGAGAGCTACCAATTCAATTAGAATATCCAAAGATAATCTCAAACCAAAAGCAGATGTTATTTGTACGTTTATTATTGGAAATAGTGATTTGGTAGGCTTGATTGTGATGCTTTTCTGTAAAATAATTGCTGTAATGTTAGATCCAACAAGTGTTGTGAAATGCGTAATGATTTGTGATAGAATTATTCGTTTTATGAGTAATAATCAATTAGGAGCCTATACTAATTTATTTGCTGGAGAGCTTTTCTACTCATTACTGAGATCTTTAATGACAACAGTTGATGAACAATTGCAAGATTCTATCATTTCACTCACTACATTTATTTATGGTTGTTTTAGAAAAAAGACAAATACTATGCGAGACATTTTAACACAGGTACCAACTTTAACCCCTCAAAAGGTTAAACATTTTGATGATGCATTCGGAAAAGCTAATGATGAAAAGGATAAGAAAAAGAAAGTCAAGACTCTTTTATCTACAATCTGTGGTATGCAAAAAGGTGCACCTTCAAAGTCAAAATCTCTCTTATCTTTAACAGGTACAAATCCAATTCAGCAACAAAGTAATGACAAGAAGAAGGGATCAAAGAAACCAACTTCATTCCTTGATAATGCCACAGTTGCTGAACTTCAAGGTTTATTTTAAAATGGCGCCAAATAAAACTACAATCATTTTTTTTCAAAGCTCAAAAAAAAACAATGCCTAAGAAAAAGCAATCCAAAGAGGATTTTCCAACCTCTCTCGGAGAACTTCTAAAGAGGAAGGAAAATTTTGTTACCAAACAAATTAACGATGAAAAAGCTGAGAAGGAAAAAGCAAAACAAGAAGTTAAAACAGAATCAAAAAAGTTACCATTCTACAAACGACCTTTTTATTTAAAGTATATTAAACCATCAATTCTATTTCTCGTTGATAGAAAGAAATGGTTCAACAAATGTTGGATGGTTTTTATATTTTTGATTGAATTGTATAATTCCTTTATAATTCCATATAGAGCTTCTTTCGATTTTGAAAATTCAATGATGTGGTATATTGCTGATGCTCCTTTTGACTTAATTTTGTGGCTTGATTTGATTCTTAACTTTTTCTATCCTTATAGAGATGCTATGAACTTGTGGGTTGATGATTTTAAGAAAACTGCCAAAAGGTATGCAGTCAAAGAAAAACTTGGATTATGGACAGATTTGATTTCATTATTTCTTCTTGATTGGATTCCAGTCGCGGTTGCTACTTCAAGTAACGATCCAAGCCAGTCCTATCGTGCAGTTTGGAGGTTGAATAGAGCTCTATTATTTTTCAGAGCCCTTAAAAGATTCCCTAAAATTGAAGCTCTTATTCCTGCCAAATTCGCATCGATTGCCAAGATGTTCAAATTACTTAACTTTGTCATTATCGTCGCAATGTCTGTTCACATTTCATCATGTGTTTGGTTTTCAATTGTTATGGCTGAATATCCTGATTCACAAGTATTTACACTTAGTGCCTCAATTTTTGAGCCATCAACCACTACTTTGTACAAGTATATGTATGGTTTTTACTGGAGTTTAGTTTCCATGGCAGGATATGGAGGTACCATGCCTGTCTCTGATTTACAGGTTGCTTTTGTAGCTATTATTTACTTAGTAGGAATCGCTGTCTTCGTTACCGTCATTGGTATCGTCTCTTCATTAGCTCAGGATTTAAATGTAACAGAAAGTGCTTTTATAGAAAAAGTGGATGCAGTAACAGACTATATTAATTCAAGAGGATTGTCAGCTTCCTTAAAAAAGCAAATTTTACAATATTACCAATATCTATGGAAGAGTAGAAAAGGATTGGATGAGTCAAAGATTATTAGAGAACTTCCTGATTTTTTGAAAATAGATGTTGCTATGCAGCTTAATGCTGATATTGTAAAAAAGGTTGAATTGTTCAAATCTTGCTCTCAGAACTTTATTCATGAAGTTGTTATTAACTTGAAACCTAGAATTGTCATGCCTGGATCTTATGTGATCAGAGAAGGAGAACCAGGAAATGAAATGTTTTTTATTGGAAAAGGTGTAGTGGAAGTTAGATCTAAAACAGGAGTTTTGTGGTCAACCCTTGGAAGTGGTTCTTTTGTTGGCGAGACTGCTCTAATTGATTCTGTTAAAAGAACAGCCAATGTTATTTCAATCGAATATGTTGACTTGTTCGTGTTAGAAAAGGAAGCTTTTGATGAAATTATGTCAACTTATCCTGAAGATGCCAAAAATGTTATTGCAACCAGCGAGGCAAGAAAACAAATGAACAAACAAAAGGCAGCACAATCAGCCCTCAATCTCAAAGGAGACACAATTCCATATGAAGAAATTACCAAACTATTGGAAAAGATTTCAATTGGCCTTGTTTATCAAAATGTAGAAGGAAACGACTTGTTCAAAGCACTTTCAGTAGTTATTCACGATCCTGCAGAGGTAATTATTCATCACATGGATGAATATTTACGAAATAAGAATAAGGAAATGCAAAGTATTATTCTTCCAAACGCAAATTGTGCTGATATGGATCAATTTATGGAAAAGTTGAAAAAAGGTGAACATAAGGCTGGTGAAACTGAAGTTAAGGTTATTGCTTTGCAAATGAGAAGAACAATTATTGTTGCGAATCCTATAGATGGAGGTAAATTTATTATTCACGGACATGATGGATCAACATCTGAAGTTTTCGAATTGCATGATTTGAGTGATTCTGATAGATTCCACAAACCTGTTATTATTATCACTAGTGGAAAACCAGGTGTTTACTTGGCAACCAGAAAGAAATAGAATCACCAACAAAATATCAACTATTTTGGCTATTTGACTTACTTGAAGAAGTTCAGCTTGGTTTGCTTTGTTTTCTTAGCCAGCATTTCCTGATTTTTATCTTGTTTGACTTCCTTGACTTCTTCAGTGTTTTTACCTAGATTGTTAGAATTATTAGAATTAGAGGATAATTTTTGTAAAAGTTGTTGGGATCTGAGTGATGTGGTGGTAGTTTTTGGACTATCCACCTTTTTCTTTTTTAAAACTACTTTACTTTCATCAAATCCCATTAAACCATCACTACTGGAAGAAGATGGAATAAATTGTTTGGAGGTATTATCCAGAATGATGTCATCCCTCTTTCTTTTTGGAGCCTCCCCTTGGTTTTCTTTAAGTTTAATTGAAGTGATTCCACAAGTTTCCTTCATTGAATCCACAACAGAAGAAAGGGATTTCACATTTGTTTTAGTTTCTTCTGCTAATTTTTTGAAATCGACCTTGAATTTGTAGGTCTGAGTTGCTGTTATGTAGAATGCAGCTACCTTCAGAATAGGTTTGGTAAAATCGGTCTTTTTCAATATTTCTGCAGAGTAACGAGACTCGAATTTCTTTTTATATTCTTCCAAAAGCTTTTCACATGATCCTCTAATTCCTTGACATCCAAAAGTAAGAATTAAATCATCTAAACTTATTGCAAATGAAATTCCAAGCAAATTAACAACCTCTGTAAAACAAGATTGATAATCTTTCATGTCAGCACCAATTTGTTGGACTGCAATTTCACGATCAAATTTTTGGTTGATATTTAAAAACTTGAAAGCCAACTCCACACAAATCATTCCTTCACATAATGAAAAATTAGATGGCAATACGCCTGCAGTGTTGTTTAATTTAGCGTGAAGGCTTCTAAAGTAATCTCTAGCTTTGCCAACAATTTTTGGAATAAGTGTGTTATTGTCACTTTCCGATGATGATTTTGTAGCAACATTTTCACTTGATTGTTCAGTGTTGGAGCCCTTTTTTTTAGGTCTTGCAACACCTGTTAAAACTTTTTCCACTATACTTTCTGTTATTACCTGTTTTGCAAAATTAAGTTTTGACATTTTTTTAATTAATTATTTTTTAATATTTATTTCTCAAACGTTGTAAAACAACTGGTTTACCCAAAGCTTCTATTATTTGATTAATGGAAGGTCCAACTTTTTTACCTGATAAGTAATATCTTAAAATTGAAACAACATTTCCATAGCCTTTTACCACTTCCTTATTTTGTTGTACATATTGTGAAATCACATTTGAAATTGTTTGCTCGTTCCATTCTTGTTCACTAATGGACAAAAGTAAATCACTAATACCCAGTGCAACATTTGAATGTGATGGAATCTTTTTAGTAATACTTTCTAACAATTCTTTTGCCTCCAGAGTATCAAGTTTGACATCAAAAAAGAAATAGTCAAAGAAATCAACAAAATCAGGTACTCTCTTGATTCTTTCACGTCCAATATATACAATCTTTCTTAAATATTCATCCTCTTTGATAGACTTTTGTTGCAAATGTGGCCTGAGTATTTCTAAAAATTGGTCCATATCTTTTTCAATCTTGGTACGAATATGTTGAGAATTAATCCATTCCAATTTAAGTAAATCAACTTTGCAATTTCCTTTGTTAATTTTTTCCAAATCAAAATTCTTTACCAATTCTTCCAATGTGAAAATCTCATCATTAGTTCCTGGATGCCAACCTAACAATGCTACAAAGTTAGTAAGAGCCTCAGGTAAATAACCCATATTTACGTAATAATCAACACTGGCATGGCCTTGTCTCTTACTTAATTTTGATCCGTCTTCATTACAAAGTAATGGAAGATGTGAAAAAGTTGGTCTTTCCCATCCAAACATATCATAGAGAATACAATGTTTTGGAGTACTTGAAATCCATTCTTGACCTCTGATAATATGAGAAACCTTCATTAAATGGTCATCTATTACATTAGCTAAATGATAGGTTGGTGTACCATCTGATTTCATAAGTACTTGATCATCAACTATTTTGTTTTCAATTTTGATTTTTCCGTACACTTTATCCTCAAACACTGTGTATTGAATATTGTCAGGTATTTTCATTCTTATAGTATAGGAAGCTTCCTTTGGTTTTTCCTCTTCTGACAAGTAGAGACAATGTCTATCATATTTACTTGGTCCTCTAACACTTCTTACTTCTTCTAATCTTTCCTCAGTACAATAGCATTTATAGGCATAACCATTGTCGAGCAATTGTTGAACATAATATTGGTATATTTCATTTCTTTGTGATTGTACTGCATGGTCAATAACCGTACCATCTTGTAATGTAATAGGGTCATAATTTAGAGAAGCCCATTTGAGAGTGTTTTGAATTTGTTCTACAGAACCTGGAACCAGTCTTTTTTGATCTGTATCCTCTATACGAAGATGGAATTTTCCTCCATTCTTTCTTGCAAATAAATAATTGAAAAGACTTGTTCTCAGAGCTCCGAGGTGCATAAAACCAGTAGGACTAGGAGCAAAACGAGTGACAACTTCAGAAAATTTACCATTACAACTAAAAGCACTAGTATGGAAATACTTGTTTCCTCCACAATTTAGAGCAGCTTTGACACTGGTTCGTGTTTGTTTTCTAAGCATTTTTTTAACTGTTGAATTTTTAATTATTTTAATAAATAAATATTTAATTACCTTCTTCATATTCTGACTACTTAATATTGTTTCATGCACCATTCGCTTAGCAAGGATGTGGATAATTGGTTGATTTTAAAGGAAAGGATTTCATGAAGAACGATTTGGGAGATAAAATGTTCTTCTCACCCAAACAAGTACAAAAAACAAGCAAAAAAAAACAAACGTTATCACTTTTGTTTATCAATAAAAACCGACTACAATAATTGTTACAGGGTTTCAAAATGACCTCATCAAGACAATCAAGCAGCAGTACCATTGGAGGAACAATTTCCTCATCAACAAATAGCTCTACCAGTAGAACGGTCTCTGGCAGATTGAACACTTCCGGAATGTCATCAAGCGCACTCACCTCATCAAGAACACCACTTTCATCCTCAACAAGACCTTCTAGCAGTCTCTCAAACTCAAGCAATACATCGAGTCCTTCTAATGCATCTACAAAGAGTAATACAAGTGCCACTTCCAGAACCTCAGTTAAGAGTTCTATCAGTTCCACACCAACATCATCATCCTCTTCCTCTGCACTTCTTAAAAAGTCTCCTTCTAAGATTGATACTGGAAAAACAACATCCTCAACCCTTAAACCACCAAGCAGTACAAGTTTAAAATCCTCTTCAAGTGCCCTAAATACCTCTTTGAATTCAAGTACATCAACACCAATATCAAGAACAGGTTCCAGCTCCTCAGTAAAAAGTACAACCTCATCGTCAGGTGTTTCAAGAGCAAAATCTGAGGAAAAAGAAACCTTAGAAAAGCAACTGAAAGAGTTACAACATAGATTTGAGCAAGAGAAACAAAATATGGATAAATTAATTGCCGAAAAAGAAATAGAAATGAAAAATCTAGTAACAAACAATTCAGCTGGTAACCAACAGATTGATCCAACAACAATCGAGCTCAATAATCAAATACTGTTCCTTGAAAAAGAAAAATTTGATGTTGAACAAAAGCTTGAAAACTTTAAACTTGAAATGAAAAATAGCATTCAACAATTGAAAAATGAAAATGAAACTTTAAGAGGAGATGTAAAAGCTACTGAGGAAAAAAATAAGGAAGTGGTACAAAAATTTACAAAAGAAATAGATACTCTTAAAAAAGAAAATAGTGAATTGGAAAGTAGGCTAGAACTTGCTCAAGCTCAAATATTGAATCAGCTTTCAAACGAAGGAGCTGAATCTGAAAAGTTGGATTCCTTTTTGGAGAAAATTACGTTACTCGAAGAAGAGAAGATCAAACTCGAACAAATAGTTACCGACTCAGAAAAGGAAAATAAGAGGCAGCAATATTCATTTGAAGAAGAAAAGGAAGCTTTTAAATCTCAACAGACACAACTTGAATCAAAGATTACAGAAATTAATAGTCAAATAGACCAGATAAGAAGAGAAAAAGAAGAAACTGATAAAATGCTCAAACAATCTCAAGCTGAAATGGAATCCCTCTTGGGAAAAATCAACTCAGAAATTACAATCAGGGATAATGAGCTCTCTGTAAAGGAAGGCTCTGTATCAGAACTGAAAACAGAGATTGAGATTTTAAAAAGAAAGCTCGAAACAGAATCAGAAACCAATACCAAAAACAAAATAGTAGTACAAGAATATAACTCCTTAACCATTAAGGTTAAAACATTGGAAGACGAAAACGAAAGGCTAAAGCAAGAAAGGCAACAAGTTGAAAAGGAGAATGTTGACAAATTGGAAAAATATAACAATGTGAAAACCAATTATGATAAAATTGTGGAAAGGGAATCCCATTTATCAACATTGGTTAATCAATTAGAATACAGATACATTGCAAAAGAAGAAGAGATTTCATTGTTACATAAGACCCTGCTAGAATTAAAACAAAAATTACAGCAGACAGAAGAAAAGTTCTCCACATCTCACACTTTAAACTCAGAAGAGGTTAACAAACTACAGATGGATTATGAGAAATCAAAAGCTGAAACAGAATTAATTCAATCCAAACTTATCAAAGCAGAGAACGATGTCAAGTCTCTACAACAAGAGAAAATCAGTCTCAGCGCAACAATTGAGCATGAGAGGGGAAATATTAACAACCTTGAAGAGGAGTTGGAAACATTAAAGAAAACTCTTACAACCAGTCAATCACATCTTAATGAAAAGGATATCCAGCTCGAAGAGCTTAAAGCAACCCTAAATGATGTGGAAGATACTTTGAAACTTGAAATGTCTCTGAAAGACCAACTAAACTTTACACTTTCCACAGAACAAAAAAGTAGAGAGATGATTGAAAAATCCTATAAGGACTCTACAAGTTTAATTTCTACCCTTGAAAGGAAATTGGAAGAAGAAATTTATTCTAAAAAGATGGTAATAACATCTTTTGAGCAACAAATTGCCTCATTGATTACAGGAAAAGAAGAGTTATTAGGTCAAACTCAACAATTAATGACAGAGCTAGCATATGAAGTCCAAGAAAAAAAGAAATATATTCAAATCTCATCTCAAAATGAAGAATTGGTGTCAAAGGCTGCTGTTGAAATAGAGAGACTCTCCCAACAAAACTTGTCTTTGGAATCTCAATCACTATTGAATGCTTCTTCACAAAAACTAATGAAAGATGAAATTGATGATTTAAAGAAGCAAATAGATCAAAAAAAATCAAAATTGGAAGTGTTGAGGCAAACACATGATTCAGAAATGTCTAATCAAAAAAATTACATTAACAAGGTTCAAGAATTAGAGTCAATGATTGATGTTGAGAGAAGAGAGAAGAAAGATATAAACGACAAAATGGATTTGCTATTGAAGGAAAATATGGAAAATAAGAGGAGACTTTTGGATTCAATGAAAAATGTGGAGTCATTAGAACTAACTCTTTCAATAGAAAGAAAAGAAAAAGATTTGTTTCTAACAAAGGGGAAATCTGAACAAGAGTCAAAATTAAAACTCGAATCGCGCATATCAGAACTTGAACTTGAAAAGAAGAAACTTGTACTAGAAGTTGAAAATTCCCACGAACTTGTCTCCTCTCAAAAATTATCTTTGGAGAAATCCTTAAAAGAAGAATTTAACAAACAGAGGAAAAATGTTGAAGCCAAATTGACTGAAATGACAAACGTTAAAGATCAATTAGAAATACTATTGACTTCAGAAAAGGAGCAAAGAACTACCTTAGAACAATCCTCCAAGAGGGAAATTAAAAAATTGCAACAAGCTTTACTCGAAGAAAAAGACTTTATAATAGAACTAGAAAGAAGAATACAAGAAGAGACAGCAAAGAACGGAGACCTTAACAAGAAGATAGAAGAACTATCACTAAAAAATAACAATTTTAAAAGTGATATTGTTGTACAACACGAAGCTAAGAAAGAGGAAACTATTGCTGAAAAAATGTCAATTGAAACAACTACCCATCATCCAGACAAAACAGTGCAAAAATCCAATGTTGGGGTAGGTCTATTAATGGGAATGGTTGGAGTTGGTATTGGAATAGTTATGCCGTCTCTCTTGAAAAAATTTGATGTTGATGTTCCTAATGTATAGAATATCTATCGCTTTGATGACCTGAGAAATTCTAGCTCCTTTCTTAAGTTCTCCACCTCTTGTTTTAAAGTTTCGTACTCCAATAAATCAATAGTAATTGTTGCTCTTTGTTTATCCTCAAGGTAGATATCTTGTTCCTCATAATCATGATTAACACTCTCCATTTCAAATCTTAATGAATCATATCCTTTCTTTAAATTATTTTGAGAATTATGAACTACTTGTTGTGATAGTGAAGGTGATTTTTTAACAATGGCTAGGTTCTCTTCAGTCTTTTCAACACCATCATCAATAAATTTAACTTGATAAATTGAATTGAGGGCATGAACAGCAAGAACTTACTTGAATTATTTTCAAACTGATCATCATTTTCTTGGTATTGCATGAATAGAAAGTCTTCATTTTCTAGTTCTTTATTTTGGCTGGAAGTTGTAGTAATGTGCACGGAGTTTTTCTTGCCATTGAGTTGTGTTCTTTGTAAGAAGTCTATATCAAGAGGAATTCTAGGAGATGTTTTTGTTGTTTTGACCACACAATTAGTTTTATTCTTTTGGAAAAATTCAAGTTGTGTTTGTTGATTATTCTTCTTTCCAACTCTTGAACGTGCTCCTAATTTAAGGCTTTAAAAATGACAAAAGTCAACAGCATTACTTACCACCAGTCCAGCGTTTCATTTTTTTATTGTTTCGATTTTTGATCGAGATAATTCTTCAGATGATACTGTATCAGTTGTACTAACATCACCTCAGCATTCCCTCCAATGCCATTCCTTCTTGAAAACTCTTTTGCAACATTAGTTGCAATGTCACCTTCCCTAATGGTCAAAATTTTACTATTTCCCTCACTAATTTCGACGTCAAGGTTGAATAATGTTTTTCTTTTTGGCTCTGGTTTAAAATCTCTTTCCATATTTGGTTTAATTTGAAGTGGTGGTTGTAATACCTCTTCTGGTTGGTCTGATTCCTGCTCCACTTCCAAATGTTTCTTAATTTTCTCAACAATCTTTGGTAATTGTTCTCTTTTTAATCCAAATGTATTGATAAAATTTTTTGCAAGTTCTGTAATGTCATCACCTTCTCTAACCATTATAACACCACTCTTTCCCTTTGAAATCGTGATTTTTAATTGGAGAATTGGAGGTCTGATTGGTCTTGTTTGTAAATGATCTGAAGCAAAATTGAAAGGTTGAAATGACGTAGAATTTTGAAACAAGGAATGTGCTGTTTGGTTGAATTGTTCTGCTTCTCTAATTTTTGGATTATTATTCTTTTTAAAAGAATCAGTTCCTTGTTGCTTTTCTATATATTTGTTGATGGAGTTTCTTATGTTGAACGCTATTTCTTGTCTTAATTTGGGATCTACTTGATGTTGTTTAATAACAAGATCAGCAAGTTGGAATATGTTGTCTCCAGAAACAACACCAACTTTACATATTCTTCCCTCTCCTAGATTGATTGATAATATTAATTTTGCTCCAGAGTTGTCAAAAGTTGTTACAGGTCTGAAATAATTTAGTTTTTGAGGATTAGGAAATAAGTCAGTTTCAACAACGGGTACGACAAAGCCCTCCTTTGTCTCTTGATAGCTTTGAACCTTATGAGTAAAATTGGCTTTGGTTGATGAAGGAAATCTTAGTTCTTCTTGTGTTTCTGTAGTTGGAGGAAGTGTAATAAATCCTGAGGCATTGATTCCATACATTTCACTATTGGTTTGAAAATCGTTGAAATCTGGTACATAAGAATCTTGTATTTGTTTTGATCTGGCGAAATCAGTTGGTGTTTGAGAAGATGAGCTCACCTTCTTTTTTAATTGGGATGTTGGAGTCCTAAACTCATCAGTTAAATTTGGACCAGTATTGTACAGGGGTATTTTTGATTGTTCGACATTAGAGGGTTGAGGTTGTGAACTGTTGTAATTTTGATTCATAGAAGAAGGGATATTTTGATAGAGACTTGTTTCATTTCTGGAATGAGGATTATTTTGATAATTCATGGAATTGATGCTATCATCATTCGTAGATGGAGGGTTATTTTGGTACAGGTTTGATTCAATTCTGGAATGAGGATTATTTTGGTGCATACTTGATCCATTTCTTGGTGTTGTTGGTAACACTTGAAATGATGATGAACTAATTTCTTGTGGAATATCATCGTTTTCTTTTAAAATAGAAACCAAATGGGATATCCTTATTAACAAAATACTCAAGGTTAAATCCATATTTGTTCCTATTTTTGGAGAAACCTCCATAAAAAAAAGACCATTCCCAACGCCATAATTACCAGCCTCTTCTCTTTTTAAAATATACGATTTACAAAAGTTTTCACAATCCTTAATAGATGAAACCTTTCTTGATGTGTCAGTTTTTGTACCTAGTAGCATTATATTAACATTTGGAGAAAATTTTTCAAACCAGTCCAACCATACACTTGTTGCATTAATCCATGATTGATTATTACTTGTGTCATATACAATCAAAACAAAGTTTGTTTTCTCTGAGAGAACTTCGTTATATGACGACGGAGGTTCCCCCCATCCAAAAACGTAAAAATCAACAAAATATTGATTGTTAATTTCCATTCTCGTTATTTCCGCTTGAGAATTTTTTCTTTTTTCAATGAATTTTCCATTCTTTTTACTTGCACTCCAACTTGAAACTACACTACTCTTTCCAACAAACCGATCTCCACAAACAAGAACCTTAATCACTGTTTTTTCAGTTAGTTGAGGCATTTTTTTATGATATTAAAAATACTGAAGGCAAAATAATTGTAATTTTTCAAGTTACCAACTTTAAAAAACTGTAATACCAATAAACCAGTGATTGTTGATGTCAGACACTGTAAAGAAGCTTCATTCGGTTTCTGGACGAAGTTTTGCACAACCAACAATTAGTAGTTTGAATCTATCAAAAAGTAACCAAGCAGGAATACTCTCCCCTATTCGGAAAAGACAAACTCCTCAAGCAGATTTTGCAAACAAACAATTTAAAAAGGAGAATGTAAGGAAACCATCAGCACCTCCAAATCAACAAAAACCTTCCGATAACAACATTGTGACATCAAATAAGCAGATAGACAAGAAAGAGATTCTAAGAAGGCAAATATACGCAACCAATCACATGATGAAAATAATAGAAAATCAAAAGTGGGAATTATTAAAAAAGGGGCGTCATAACTCAAATGCTTCATATACCTTATAATATTATTATATACACTTAATTTAAAAACTGATTAAATATTCCATAATTCTATCTCCTTTCAAAAACAATCACAGAATATTGTCATAATTTCCGTTATCAGTTGGTAAGTTGATAGAAAAACAGTCATAAATTTAAAGTACTTTGGCGCCATAAAATTTACAGCATTAAATCAAAACAAAAAAAAATACAAAACATGGACACCAATAATTTAGGCCAAGGTCCAACTGCAGATTTTAAAGGAGAATATGTTCATCCTGTTGTCTCTGCAAATAAGGGAACAGCATCATCACTGTTGCTTGAAGAATACACCAAGACCCACATTTGTAAAAATCCTTTGAAAGGAGGAGGAAAACAATCCAGGCCCGATGCAACTTTTCTTCCAAAATCAAGTGAATCTCCTTTTGGAAGTTTCCCAAATGAAATGAAGCCAAGAACAATGAAGACTCAAAGAATTCAATCATCGACAGAATCTTCCCTTGATTCAGGATTGGTTGGTTCTAAAATGTTGTCAAGTAAAACTACCTTGGAAAAAACTGAAAAGGGAACTTTCATGTGGAGCTCTAAGAAAATTGGATCTGGAGGAGCCTCAAGCTCTTTAAGAGAAGGTAAAAAGCCAACACCTCCACCAAAACCTGTTGCTGGTGCAATGGAAAGAAGATCCATCCCAGAAACACAATTCAGAAAGTTTTACGAAAGAGGAGACTTACCAATCTCTATTAAACATGAGGGAACAAATGAAATCCATTGGAAAGTTAAAGCTGAAAAACTCGATTATCATCACTACCTTCCAATATTTTTTGATGGGTTAAGAGAAAAAGAAGAGCCATATAGATTTTTAGCAGTGCAAGGAACATTTGATTTGTTAAAATATGGTAAAGATAAGATTGTGAACTGCATACCACAACTAATTATTCCAATCAAGAGTAAGTAATATTACTGTAATATTCCATATTCTTTTACCCTAAAATAAGCTGCTTTAAATACAAGGGATCCTGAAATTATATGTACAGTACTGAAAGTAATCCAACAATTAGTTTTATCAAATGAGAAAGTTGGTGAAGCCCTAGTTCCTTACTATAGACAAATTCTTCCAATTTTCAATCTCTTCAAGACCAATAATATCAATCTTGGAGATGCCATTGAATATTCTCAAAGAAAGAGACTAAATATTGGTGATTTAATTGAAGAAACTCTTCAACTGTTAGAGCAAGAAGGAGGTGAAGATGCATTTATTAATATTAAATACATGATTCCAACCTATGAATCGAGCGTGCTCAATTAAACAATGTTTCCCCTTGTATAGAATCCAAAAATAAACCCTTTCTTTAAAACGTCACATTTTAAATTTCATCCAAATCAAAAAAATGGTGGAAAGTACGTTACCTCTGTCAATTAACTCATTATTTTAATATTTATTAGAACATACTATTGGTATTTTTGGTCCTTATGCTGTCGGAAAAACAAGTGTTTCAGGTTAGTTTCTTGAGAATTTCTACTAATTTCTAATTAAAATTATAAAACAGTACAATTTGTGGAAAATAAGTATACGGAAACTCATGATCCTACAATAGGTTAGTTGACTAAATAATATTTTGATTAAAAATTATTCAAAAGAGGATTACTTTGAAATAACAAAGAATATTAGAGGAATAACATCTAACATTACAATATTGGATACAGCTGGACAGGAAAGGTTTGTTATTCACTAATAATAATAATAATATTTAATAATTTGAAAGCTATCAAAGTTTATTATCGGGTTTGTTTCTTTAACACTTTTTTAAAATAATATTTTCAAAAACAGATGCCATGAGTGAAGCCGAAGGTAAGATTTATAAATTTATAGTTTAGGATTAACTGAAATTAAAAGGATTTATTTTGGTATATAGTGTTGTGGATAGAGAATCTTTTGAAAAAGTTCAAAAATTGAGAGAAAAAGTAACAATGGTACAAAGTGCAACTGTGCCAGTTATTCTTGTTGGAAACAAAGCTGATTTAGAAGATGAACGTCAAGTTTCTACTAGTGAAGCAGAGCAACTTGCGCATGGAGTTGGATGTCCCTTCATTGAAGCATCAGCAAAAACTGGACTAAATATTGAGAAAATATTTGAGTTGATTGTTTGTCAAGTTAGAAAATCAAAAGGTCTAAAAATTTCACTAGATGGAAATAATGACGATTTACCAAACATAATCTCTCAAACAACAACAAATGATAACTCATTACATGTTTCCAATGAACCCTCAACACCAACTTCCCCTAATCAAAAAAAAACAAGGAAAAATTCAAACAGTAAAGATACAAATCTTAATTCCCCAAACAATAAGAGAAAGGATTGTGATATTCAATAAAATTTATTTCAATAAAAGTAAAAATACATGTTCAATTCAAAAAGTACTGTATTATTGGAATGAAAAATTCAATTTCAATCTTTAAAAAAAAATAATAAAAAAATTTGAAAAGAAAAAATGGCCCAATACCTAACTACAAAGGCCGAAAACGCTCTCAAGAGAACGGCTGGTATGTAATTATTCATCACTTCATTAAAAATATTAACCAATTTTCTTGCAGATTACATCCAATCTGAACAATTAAATTTAGCTTTCCTTGAACTTGGAGCAATTGTCTCTAAATTCGGTCGTCAAATCAAAACATGGCACGAAATTTATGAAGATGTTGCTAAAAGATTCATCAAGGTATCTGTAGAGTTAAGAAAAGCCCAAGAAATCAAGAACGTCCTTTCTTCATATAGAATTCTCTGTCAATCAAGCGAAATCAAATCATTTGGTAATGTTATTTTGTTGTACTTGGACCAAGCTGAAAAACGCACACAAAAGGCTATCGAAAAGTCCAAGAGCAAATCCTTGACTCTCGAAAAGGATTTAGAAAACGAAATTCCAGAAAACATCCTTCTTTATGAAGTTTCCGGAGAAGGATTAAAGGATAGAACTGACCGTGAAATTGTTACACCATGGATGAGATTTTTGTGGGAAACCTATAGATTGGTACTCGAACTCTTAAAGAAGGATCCACAATTAGAATCCATCTATCATGAAACTTGTAAGAGAGCTTTTGATTTTTGTCTTAAGTATGAAAGAAAGACAGAATTTAAGAGACTTTCTGATCTTTTACGTGCTCATATCAAAGGTGTAGAAATGTCATCTTACGAAAGCATTGCACAATATCTCTCTGCTCGTTTCTTCCAATTAACTGTTGCTATCAAATTGGATTTATGGCAAGATGCTTTCAAGAGTGTCGAAGACATTTACTATTTGATTTCTACATCAAAGAGTGTTGTTATTCCACAAGCAGAACTCTTGAATTACTATGAACAGTTGACAAAGATTTTCTGGACTTCAAAGAACTACATTCTCCATGCTTATGCTCACTATAAGGCTTTTGCAATTCATAAGAGTATTTCTAATTCCTCTGTATTGCAAACCTCCGCTAACAGTTTGTTACTTTCCACTCTTACCACTCCATCAAACACTAGTAATGAAACTCTTCCAACAGACTTTATTTCTGTTAGAAATGAAAGAAGATTAGTTTCTCTCTTAGGTTTGAGTGTTCCACCAAGTAAAGAGCTCCTTGTATCTGAATTAGATGCCAAGAATGTAACACAATTAGTAGATACTCAATTGAGAGACCTTTATAGAATTCTTGAAGTTGATTTCAGTCCACTTAAAATGTGTGAAAAGATCAAGCCAATTTTAGAATATGTCAAATCAAAGGAAGATTTAGCTATTTATTATGAACCTCTTAAACAAATTACTGTTACAAAATTGTTACAACAACTTGCAAGAGCTTTCCAAAGTATCAAAATTGAAACTGTATCCAAGATGGCTGATTTTGTATCTTTAATTCAACTTGAAAAGATTCTTGTTGAAAATGCAAACACTGGTAAAATTCAAGTTATCATTGATCATGGAAAGGGTGTTTTGGTATTCGGTAAATCACCAAGAACTTTCGATGCTAATGATGTACATAATCAAATCGCCTTGTTCGGTAAAAGAATTCATGATGTCATTGATATGATTCATCCAGAAAGAAAGGAAGAAAAGGAAAAGAAGAGAAAGAAGTTCATTGCTGATGTTTCTAAGAAGCTTTCTCCAGAAATTGAACAAATTTCTATCAGAAACGACTTTATTAGAATGAAAAAGTTGTGGCACGAACAAGAACACAAGAGAGCCTTGGAAAAGGTTGAAGAAAGAAAAGTTGAACTTGCCAAACAACGTGAATTGGAAGAAGAAAGAATTGCCCAACAAGAAGCCAAGAATAGAGAAGAAGAAAAGAAGAGAAGAGAAAGAAAAATTGCTGAAGAAAAGAAGAAGAGAGAAATTATTGATATGATTACCAATAATAACACTAAAGCAGAACAAGATTTGTTAAAGGTAGCCAATAAGTCTCTCAAAAAGAAGCTCACTTCCCTTATTGAAATGGAAATGGATGACATTATCGAACTTAAGAGAAGCGAAATTCAACGTGAAAAGAAGGAAAAGGAGAAGAAATTGGTAGAAAAATCCAAGAATATGGACTATCTTGAAATTACTAGACGTGAAATTGAAATGCCACTCTTTGATGATTATAATAAGAAACAACAACAATCAAATAAGGAATCATTCGATAGTTATGTCAGTAAGCAAAACCTTGAACTTCAAAAGGAGTTAACTGAAATGAGACAAAAGAAACAAGAATTATCCAAATACTTTGTTGATACTACATACTTTGCATCTGAATTTGTTTTGAAGAAGAGAAAGGAAGAATTTGAAAGATTAAAGTCAGAACAAGACAAGAGAAAACAACAAAAGAAGGAAGAATGGGAAACTAAACGTGTTGCTATTATCGAAGAAATTGAAAGAAGAAGAAAGAAGGAAGAAGAAGAAAGAGAAATCAGAAGAAAGGAAGAAGAAGAACGTAAAAAGAAGAGAGAACAAGAAATGGAAGAAGAACGTAAAAAGAAGGATGAATATGATAGAATTCAAAGACAAAAGGATGAGGAATATTATCAAAGACAAAAGGAAAAACAAGCTGAAATTGAAAAGAGACTCCAAGGCCAACAACAAACACCAAAGAAACAAGACAGATGGGGTGGTTTGGATAGTGAATCATCTTCACCATTTGGTGGTGCCAAGAAGTCTAGTGGTTATGTTCCTCCTCACTTGAGACGTCAAGAATCTGCATCTGATGCTCCAAAGGAACAAACTGAACAAAAGCCAGAAACTAATAATAGACGCTTTGCTGGATCCGATGAATCTTTCTCTGCCTTTGGTAAAAAGCCAGCAAGTGGTACAGGCGGCTCAAGTGGCTCAAGTGGTGCAGGTGGTAGAGGTGGATTTGGTAGTAACAACAACAACCGTGATGGTGGCGATAGATGGAGAAAATAATCGTCTTATTAAATATTATTTATTGTTAAACATATTTTGTTTTTTAATTGGATTTTTAAATTAAAAAATGTCATCAAAAAAGGATTGGAAAATCACTGTTGTGACAAATAATGAAGGAAATATAAAACCATTCAATTACATTAGTGGTGTAGCTGTTGAATCATCTTCTTCTTCAAATACTACCAAGGATATCTCGGAAAAGAAGAAACAACAATTGGATCTCAAACAAAAGAAATGTTGGGAATTTGCCACAAGTCCTTTCCGTGGTTTATTCATGAATGTTTTTCTGATGTGGATGATTGGAAATCAAATCAATATTTTCCCAATAATTTTTACTGCTATGGCCATTATGAACCCTATTAAAGCCATGCTAGGAATTGGTCAAGGTATGTGTTATTGGTTTTCATAAATTTACTAATAATTCTTTAAAGCTTTTCAATCTTTCGACTCGGAAGAGGGAGGAAAAATTAATACAATCTTGCCAAAAATTGTTTACTTTTTACTTCAATGTGTATCTTTAGGAATGGCAGTTGTAAAACTATTTTACATGGGTCTGCTGCCAAACGAATCCGATTGGGCTCACACAACTCCTCTCCATCCAACTGAATTTGTTGTTCCTTTAGTATCAAACAATATGTAAATTCAAATTGAATTAATAAAAATCAAAAAAAAATTAAAGAATGAAAAAGAAGGTTCTATTGATGGGAAAGGTAGGTTGACAGTTATGTACTTTTCTCTGATCAGAGGTTTAAAAACCCGATTAAAGAGTGGAAGTGGTAAAACTTCAATGCGTTCTATCATTTTTGCCAATTATATTGCTCGTGATACAATGCGTCTCGGAGCTACTATTGATGTAGAACACAGCCACGTTAAATTTCTTGGAAATTTAGTTTTAAATTTGTGGGATTGTGGTGGTCAAGGTTGGTGTTTAATTATTCTTAAATAACTGTATATTTAATTATTTTATAATTTTAAAAAGAGGCATTCATGGAGACCTATCTTGAATCACAAAGAGATCACATTTTCCGTAATGTAGAGGTTCTTATATATGTTTTTGATGTTGAAAGTAAAGAATTGACTAAAGATTTGGCTTATTATCATGATTGTTTGGAAGCAATAATGCAAAATTCGAAGAATGCCAAAATATTTTGTCTCATTCACAAGATGGATTTAGTACCAGAAGATCAAAGAGACAAAATTTTCCGTAAAAAGGAACAAGAACTCAGACAATTATCATCACCAATGAAAGTAACTTGTTTCCGTACTTCAATATGGGATGAAACACTCTACAAGGCTTGGAGTACTATTGTTTATAGTTTAATTCCTAATATTCAAAGTATTGAGGCAAACCTTGATAATTTTACAAAGATTTGTGGAGCTGATGAGGTAGTTTTATTCGAAAGAGCTACATTCCTTGTGATATCACATAGTACAAGCCATGAACATCCAGACGTTCATCGTTTTGAGAAAATTTCAAATATTATCAAACAATTTAAAATCAGTTGTTCAAAGGCACAATCTCAATTTCAAAGTATGGAGGTAAAGAATTCTCAATTTTCTGCTTATATTGAAGGTTTTACACCAAACACATATATTATGGTTATATTGAGTGATACAAGTATACAGAGCGAGGCTGTTCATATGAATATTAGGGTTGCAAAGAAGCACTTTGAAAAGTATTTGAAAGTTTCAACTACAGAGGGAGGTCAACAAATTGCCTATGATCCTTCTTCCAATGTTTTGTAAAGTAAATTAATGATTTATTGTAATTTGACAGGTCTCTTTTGATGTTCCACATTTTTCCACTCCTCACCTTCTTGTGTTGGTGCACTTTTCAAAAGGCTTTTCATTAGCAATTCATAAGTAGAGTGATGAGGTTCAAATTCTTCTCTTAATACCAGGTTAAAATTCTCCTCTGTTGTTGAGTGAATTGACAATTCCAAAACCCACCAAAATGAAGGCACAAAAAGAATTTCATGTTCCTCCAATTCTACAGAAATTGCAATTGAGTTTTTAAGGAAATTATTTTGAGTTTTTAAATTTTCCACAATATTAAAAGGATCAATTGAGGATATCACTGTATGACTATGAATTCCAGTCCATTGTTGAAATTTCCAATCCATCACTGAAACTTTTGGTTTCATACTATCAGAGTGTAGAGGATCAAAAAGAATAAATTTTGTTTTGCCCTTAATTTGAATAAAAATACTCTCCTTATTTGTTTGATAAATAGGGAGGACAAAATTGTTTAACAAAATATCATCAGAGTATGATAATCTCATAGAGATAGATCTAAAGTGTAGAGATTCTCTAACAATATTTGGTTGAAATGGTAGTGAGTTAGTCAACCATTTTTGATTGATTTTAACTATCTGATATGGAATCATAAATCCACCTTTTGACCAGTAAGTATTGTAATATTAAATCTTTTGACCTACCTGGTTTGTGATTGCTTCTCAATCTTTCATAATTATTATAATGATCCATTTGGTCATTCCATGTTGATCTCTTCCAAGAAAATGATAATTTTGGATTTTGTAACGCATTTTCTATTTGAAAACCTGAGCCAGTTATTAAATCATCAATAATTGCCTGAGTAGATGCAATACGTTCAAATCCATCAGCAAACAAAACAGGTTCATCATTATTTTCGTATTTTTGATTCTTAATATTATTTAAATTAGAAACAACACTATCTCTTATTTGAGATTGATCTGCAACATCTGTTTCTATATGATGTTTAAATGGAAATTCCTCTGACATTTGCCCTAAAAGTGGAAACACGTTTGATTTGATTTGAGTTTTGATTTGGTCTACTCCATGGAGAGGTTTCTGAGTAACAATGAAAAATTCTTGTTTTTTTAAATTATCAATAAAGGTGTAATGCCATCCAGCTTTGAAACATTTCCATTCTCTTCTAGGTAAGGTTTTTAAACCTGAAAGTTTTACTGGTCGTCCATTTGCAATAAAGCTACATATTAAGAAAATATTTACAAATTTCACAATGAATTCATTTTGTTGTAACTTACTATTTGAAAAATATAGTTCCTTTTGGAAGTTTTTCTCTAAACTCAGGTACTCTAGTTCTATCACCACGATCTTCTCCCTCAATTTTTTCAATACTTCTCTCTAAATGTACTAATTGTTCTTCATCTCTATCGGGAGATGTTCCACTGAATAACGTATGATCCTGATTTAATTTTGAATTCCATAATCTCATATTCTCAAATACTTTTCGCGTCACAAATTCATAAGTCATTTCTTTATGGTGTAGAATATTAGAAACTGGATTAATTTTGTTTCCTTTCATAAATCCAAACAATGGAGCAAACACAACAGATCCAATAAGACATCCAATAGTAAAAATCAACAATAGAATTAAAATGTTTAAAATTGCCATTTTTTCACTTTCCAATAATTCACCATTTGATTTATACAAATCCATCATGATTGAATGGGAAAACTATCGTCATCAAGTTTCTTCGATTCTTGTTCAATTTGGTTTGATGACATTTTTTTAAAACCATGGAAGATTTTGCTTGGATCAAAAAGGTTCTCACCAAATAATCAAGTTCATAAGAAAAAATTGTCTCTTGTGTGAGTCTCTCTACAACAGAACATACGATCAACACGAATCATCACATCATCTTGTTTACCAATTTAATTTGTAATAATTTTTTGAAATGGATCGTACACCCACCATAGAAGAAACAACCCATAAGGCTCAAATTTCTCTTCTTCCATCATGGCAAATTAATTTACCGTTCAATGTATTCAAGGCTGACCAAACCAAAAAGTTGAATTTTCCTCCAACCATGTTGAACGTTTTGGTAAAGAAGATAAAATTATTGATGAAAAACAAACCAATCACTGGTGTTGGTTTGATGGTGGTTATGACAATTTACGCCATTCTTGTGGCTAGCCTTTTCCCTTCATCTTTAATCAAAGCTCATGGTTCCTTTGTTTTGGGTTTTGGTTCACTTGCACTTGGTGATGATCTTTTTAGAAGTTTCTACAAACTTTGTGTTGAAGGAGAGAAAATTATGAATAGTGGACAAATTTCTTCAAATTCAGTCTCATTGACAAATTGGTGGAATGGTTTTCAACAACTTGATGAGGGTCAAGTTTGGGTTTTGTGGTGGAAATGGGGACTATTTCACCGATCCTTTATTTTATTCCTCAATAATCTGAAACACTTAGCTTCTCCAAGCACAACTAACAGTAGCACTGTTAATAGTATTAACACGAAGAAAAGAAGAGTATTCCTGTTAGAGGGTTTTAACGCAATACTCCTTTCTTCTTTGTTTACATATACTGCTCTCAAGTATCCAGATAATAGGTTACATACTGTCATTCCAAAACAGTTACAATATTTGGGGTCATCACTTCTTTGCTGTTATGGTATTAGTGCCATTAATCATTCATTTAATGATAATAGTAGTTGGGAGCCTCTACCTAAATGGATCGCCCTCTACCTACTAACTATTGGTTCTTACATGGGAACATATTGGAGCTTTGAATGTGTCTACGAATTTATTGATCTATTCCAAAATAAGAATTACTCTTCCTACACTACAACCATGCTATTCATTTGGTATCTTTCAAAGTTAGCCGTCTCATCTAGTGTTGGTGTTGTTAGTACTTTTGCTCTATTGGATAAGTTAAAGATTTGGAAGACTCTTGGTAATTATTCAGATAAGCTATTGATTAATGCTAAAAAATATCAAAAGGAGTTCTCTGCTATTGGGTTGAGCACGGCCAAGGGTTTGGGACTTTATTCATTTGCTGCTGGCTCATATAATTTTGTTGAATCTATGAAAAAATTCATTCAACACCTTTTAAATGAAGACAATACCACACTCTCTCTTGGAATGCGTGCAAAGGAAATGGGTAAGGATGTGCTCTTCATTGCTGGAATGTATGCTGGATTTTATATTTTCAATGGAGCTCTCTGTTTTGGCTCTCCTTACACAAAGGTTCCATTTTACTTGGAAAATGAAGCTCTAAATTTAACAGTGGGTGGTGTTACATTACATAGTGTTGTTGCAGCTCTTTCTAAATTTTCCTATTTTTATAATAAGAAAATTTTGGATGAATCAACAAGCCTCTCAATTTTAGCAACTTTAGATAATGTTTTATCATATGAAAATATTGCTCTTACATTTGCAACAAGTGGTACATTTATGTATGCCAATGATTTACTTTTGAATGCATATGATAAGGTCACAAATAGTTCTAATCAAATTCGACCAGTTTTCAATCCAGTTCCTGGTGGCATTAGCTTGAGCACTAGTTTGTCAGCAGTTGCCCTCAAACATTTCTTATCTGCTGGTAGTTCTGTTTTGGGAGCAATTGGTACTCCAAATCAAAGTATTGTTTCTTCTTTGACAAGTTTGGGATTACTTTTACCCCTTTCAAAGGATTTAGTAATTGGAACATGTTCTCTTGCTGCAAGTGGGTTTGTTTTAATGAAAACATTCCCTTCTCTTAAACCACTTATTGAGAAACCTTTGCAATTCTTTGATAAAATTATTGGAAGAAGATCAAGGAAGATTCTGAGTATTTTGGGTTCTCCACAAGCTGCTTTTACACTTTTTGCCACAATTGGAAGTTATATCATTTACAAAAAGTATATCTATGACGAAGAATTGTTTGAACAAACAGATAACTAAATTAAAGTTTACAATGTGTATTATTAAGTTGCTATTTATCAAAACTATTTAAATCTTCTTGTGAATCAGATGCAGAAGAGTTATCATCAGGGTGGTCATTACTTGTAACGAATTTTGTTGATGCAATATAACTCTTTTGTCTTTCTATTATTGTGACAATTGAAAAGACAACAATCATAATTCCAAGTAATGCACAAGTCAAGTTTGAAAATATGGATGAAACGCTCATGTTGTAATGTTCTCTATGAATAAACTGCCTGTATTTATAATATTCATGGTGCTTTGCCTGTTCCTTACAATGCAATAAGGAATTAATATCATTTCCGTTACAATTAAAGGTTTCGGTACAATCAATTAAAGATGTGAACAAAAGGGAGGCAATTAATATTATCAAATATTGAGTCTTGTTGATGTACATTATGTTGTTTTTTTTGAAAGGAAATAAAGAGAAAGAGGAAGCATTATGGATAAATTTGTTTTCAAACCAAATCGAAACTCTGCTTGTTCTTTGTGTTTGATGTTGATTTTAATTTTGACCGTTGCCAAAAATCAGTCAAAGTCCTTACTCTCGGAATATGAAAAGTGCGTGCACTACTCGGTATTTCGCAGTAAGGACAATTTTGCATGCATTCTTTATTGCTCGTTGTTTGGTGGTAAATTATTTTGAGTAGAAAATAAATTTACAAAACTCTTGTATAATTTTTCATTGTAAGCTTCCAATTGGTTTTCTGTTTGAGAATTGAGTTTGTGTAGAATTTCATAACATTTAGCAATTGACCTCCTAAAATCAATCATATCTTGTTCATAAAAATCTCCAATTGTTTTGTTATCGGTTATTTGTGGAGGGTTTGTGGAAATATCCTCTGGTGATGTTTCTGTAGTTGATGGTATGGATTTTTTAGCTAAAAACTCCAATTTCTCATTAATGTTGGACAATTCGGACCAACATTCTGAAAGAGATATTTTAAAATTAGGTGTCAAACCTGACCACTCAGGGCATACACTCAATACTACATGAAATTTCACAAATATAGTTGGCCCAGCCTTTCCTTCTTGTACCAATAAATCTTTAAGGTAAGCTCCTGAAGACATGAAAGGATAAGCCCCTGTTAATGTATTATTACCATAAGGTCCATAAACTTTTCCCGTATTTGTCTCGAATTTAATTTGCATTAAAGCCTCTCGTTGATAGCCTGATACTTTTACAATATATTCATTATCTGAAAGAAATATTTCAACATTGTCATTTCCACCTGTGGGTGTGCCATATGTTTTTGATGTTTTGTTGCTATATGATATCTTTAAAACGACTGGGTCAACCCAAAAATAATTGAAGAAAACCTACGCTCAAATAATCAATATAAATTCCCCAACGTAGTACAATTTTTTTGATTTGGGTTGTAGGTATTACCATTCTCTTAAATATATAACTGTTTCTCGAATAATCTCCATTTTCAAGCTGTTTAACATTTCCATACTTGAACATTATAAATTTGTTAAAATAATTTTGTTTTTGTATATCAGTCAATGGAAGTAACTCTTTTTTCTGGGATGGAATTGAATTGGTGGTGGATGAAAGAGGCTGATTTTCTTGATAGATTATTGGTATGAGAATGATGTCAATTCTTTACAAACCTTTAACTTGAGTAAATTTCGAGAGCATTTCCATGAATTGATATTCCGAATAGGATCTCATAGTTTCTGGGTATGTTTCAAATAAATGATCTAAATGTTGATCAAGAGTTTCTATTGGTATTGCTACAGAAAGTGAATCATTACTACTAGTGCTCATTTGAGAACTACTAGATAGAGATCTTCTAAGTTGTGGTGAGGATGACTGAATGGAATGTATGTCCTCTCCTTCAAGGAGAGGATTAGTTGCTGAAGTATCATGAACAGAATTTCCCATGAATGATTTTAAAAACGCTCCAAACCCTCCTTGAGCATTTGATGGAGAGGAGAAGCTTGTGGAGCTTCGGGTTCTATTGTTGTTGTTATTGTTATTCGTTGACATTTAAAAAAATTACTAGCATCAGGCGACGAAGTATTTTTGTGGGTTGATGATCAAGATATTTTTTTGTTTTTTGTTCCAACAACATTCTATTTTATTTTAAACACACGACAATCCAACATGAAATGTGTCACCCTCCTTTAACAATTTGTAGTGAATAAGATTTTTGAGAAATGGTTCATCGACTGGACAAAGATGGTTATCAGAAATAAGGAAAATCGATTCCACTTCAACTCGCTTGAAAGTGATTGAATAGCAATTCATTGCTTCAAAACAGTTGTTCAAAATTTCTTCCTTGAAGATGGAACAACAACTTCCATTTTGGCTACAGTATTCTGATGGGAAAATATTATAGTCTAATCTTAACAAAGTAATTATGGGATCAAAGTTGTTTGTTGTGGAGTGAAATTTTAACAGTATGGAACAAGAACCATCATACGGAACAATTTCAGTGCTTTGCTTAATTTTCTTTCTTTTTAAAGTGCTGTCTGAAAATGTTCTCTTTTGAGAAGGTTTCAAGTTCTTTATCGTTCTTCCAGAACCGTCTGCAGATGGAATATACTCTCCTCTGGAATACCTCCAAACCTTGTTAAAATCTGTTGAACAAACTGGCCCAAACATGATTGAAGTGGATGGAAAGGTTTTTTGGTATAGCTCAGCGTTTTGAGCATGAATAAAATAATTCTTTTTGAAAGACATATTCGCTCTCTTACAAATAACACAATATCTGTTAGAAGGATCTGGAAACATGTTTCTCACCTCATGTAAACTCTCTTTAGAGGATTTAATCTTAGAGGGGAAGGTTCTGTTAGTATTATTTTGATTAACATCTTTGGTTTGGTAATTGCCAATGATAAAACAGTTGTCATTGAAAATATGCTCTGCTACCAAATTGTGATTGGCAGGACTGTTATTGTGTGATAAACTATCGGTTGCACATGTGTCTGAAGAAAACTGTGCAAAATTGAAAGGTGCAATAACATTGTCTGACTCAACAAATTCAACAGGAAGGAATGAGTGATATGAATCAAAATTGCAACTATTAGATAACATGATAACTTTTTTTAAGGTTGGGATAATCGAATAGACTAATCTTGTGAGTGTTCCATCACGCGAGGTCATTGTCATGACTTCCTTATTTGTCTGGCTGCCAAAATTTGAGAAACACCCAAAAACAATAACCAATCATCCTAACATATGTGTGTCCAAAAAGAATAGAAGCTTACTCTCTGAATGTAATATCTCATACAACGCGGGATAGAAACGTAACTTTCAACAAGGAAAGGGTTGCTTCAATAGCTTATCATGATTTTTATTTTCAAGAAATTCCAAACTTATGTTAAAATCTTTCATAAAACATGATTAGAATAAGGAAATTGTAGACTCTTTTGACCCAACATATTAAGGTTTTGAGTGCTAAGAAGTTTAATAAAAGAATCCACCTTCAGAAACAGAATAAAATGATTAGAAATTTATCATTTTAAATTTGAAAACTTTTTCTCCTCGATTTTTTCTCTGGCTTTCATGTTCTCCATTCGAAAAATCAACAAATTCATTACCCAATAAGTGTAACTGATCTGAATTTTCAGTATTACTTTGCTTTTGACTAAATTTTTCACTATCATCAAGAGATAGTTTGTCAAACGGTAGAACCAATGGATTACTATTACTTCTCTTTCTACTTCTGATAGTTATTGAAGAAAGTGGTAATGAGGATTGGTTGCTGTTCTGAGTTAAATTGGTGCATGTGTTACTTGAACTTGTTGGAGAGAAGGATCTATTTCTACTTGGTGCATGTATTGAGTTTGACATTTTGTTCGATTTTTTAATTTTGGGTGAGTTACTTGAAATGATTTTGTTTGCTTGGGTAGCTGCAGCTATCGAATTCCAAACTTCCTTTGCAGATATTCTTCTTGAAAGAGGATTAAAGGGATTTGGATTATGTAATGATGCTCTTTCTGAATATTGTTTGATGGATTCTTCATTTTCTATTACAAGTACAAAGTCATTCTTTGATTCATTGCCAAGTGGTTGACTTGTAGGTGTTGATGGTGTACTTGATTTTTGATGATTTTGAGAATTAATGACTACAGTTTGGAATATACTTGTATTACCGTTGTTGAATGGTAAAGGTGAACTTTGTTTGATTAATGTATTACAATTGTTGGAATTACCACAAATATTAAAATTATTACATGAGTTATAACCTGCACCACTGTTCGTGTGAATAGCAGTACTTGAAGACGTTGTGGCAGGGTGTAGGTTATTAGTTGTAAAACTCGTTATGATATCTGTATTGTTTGGTGATAAGATTTGATTATTGGTGTTCAAATATGAAGTGTTGCCCATCATTACAGGTGGTACACTTCTAACTCTTGAATGAGGTGCTTTACCTCTTCCATTAGAATGAGGAAATTTGTTTTGTTGCGTTATGTTTGATTGTTGTGACACTGAATCGATTGTTTGTGAACCATTTGTGGTACCATTTGAAATTGATCTATTCCTAACTATCATACTATTATTTGTGAGTTGTGTCTGATGATAATTATTAGTACTATTACAATTACTACTTGCAAATTCTATTGTTTGTTGACTTGTTGTATGAAAATTGTCTTGTTTTGTAGAGGGTTGCGCAAACCACTCTGATATGGAAGGCAATCTTTCCTGTTGTTGTAGTTGGTTATTATTATTGTTGAAATAATTTACATGAGTCTTTTTGTTTCGAATAATAATATTATTTGGTTGAGTGGTTGGTTGTTGAAGGGGTTGTGTAGTGTTGTTGATGTTTCCAACAGTATTGTTGGTCATTGAATCGGTCATTGTATCCAACACATTACCCAATAAAAAAGAATTGTTTTTTTTTAAATTTAGTGTTATTGGTATTTATTGTATTATGTAATGATTTGTTGTGCCAGAAAGAGGTAGTGATTAACAAAAGGAGTGACGTTTTCCGAGATTTAGATTGTTTCCATCTTGACTTTTATGTGGAGGACTTTTGAAACTATGAAACGATTTGGCATTTGTAATTCCAATCAAGCAGAACCATTAAAAAAAATGCACACCCTCATCTTGATAGATTTTCTTCCGGAAAATGAAAAAAAGCAATTTGATCTTAAATATTCAACATTATTAAAACAACATCAATTCAATAGAAAATTATCCATTCCTTTTTCTGGTAATTTTTTTAACGTAGCAACTCTTGGCTCAGAAGAGTCTGGTGAAAGTAATAATCATTTTAATTTACCTTTTGATATTATTAAAATTGACTCTTTCATGATGATTACAGATCAAGAAAATCAACGTATTCAAATCTATGAAAGAAATTTATATTATTTTACAATCAAAATCAAGCACAATTCAAAGTTTAAGTGTAAACCAAAAAGAATAGAGTCATCGGATGATGGTGTTTTTGTTTCGTTTGACTTTGATGATAATTCATTATTGATTAAGCTGGACAAAAAGTTACTATTTGAAAAAATACAAAAATCTATTAAGGAAGGTATTAACATTATTAACATCAATTTAGATGATACTCTTGATAATTTAATTATTTGGAAATCAGAATATCAATCCAATATTTTAGCATTGAAACCAATTAATTGCCAATTAGAAAAATTTGTAATTGTTTCCACTCAAGATAACATGCATCTCATTCAATCAAATGATGGGCAATTTTTAAGAGAGGCATTTAGCGATTCAACAATTTATGATTTAACTTTATTTAAGGTTGATGAAAAAATCAATTTATTAGCCTCTGGAAATAATTCTGTTTTTATATTTGATCAGTTATTTGAAGAAGGGTTTGAAATGAACTCTGAACTGCACTCTATTATTTATCCAAGTTCGTCCTATGGCTCTTCATTAAGTATTATTGTAAATGAGGGTTTGAATGTTAGAAATATTTGTTCTAGAGCTTTTTTAAAATCAGGCATTGTTCAACCAACAAAGAAAACAACAAAGGAAGTAATTGCACACAAACAAATAATAATAGCTGAATCAGCGAGTAGCAAGATACATATGTTTGATTTATTCTTAATGAAACAAACAAAGAATAGCTTAGAGACATTCGTATGGGATTACGAACTTGTAAAAACGTTTAGAAAAAAGCCAGTACTGAACTACCCTACAAGCCTTTTGATAGATGAATATGGAAATTTATTTGTTGTTGACTCAAAACAACACAGAATTCAAATTTTCAGATAATTAATTTCAAATAATTCTAACTTTACTAGTAAACTCGAGTACCTGGTTTTACACCAAGTGTTTCCTTTGGTGCTAGTGGTGTAATTGTTTCAAAAGAAGAATCAGTGTTTTCCTCTGGTTTTTCTCTTGTTGCAAACATGATCATCCCATGAGATAGATGGTTAGCCATTGATTTTGGTTGAAGATTTTTCACTACTAAAACTTGTTGTCCAATAAATAAATTATTTAATTCCTCAATATTATCTGTTGTGGATATGGAGGGATAATGAAGACGAATACCCGAAAGGATTTGCCTAAGATTTTCTTCTCCTATATCTACTTTAAAACAAATTAATTTCTTTGATTTCTTAACAAATTGTGCTTCCATAATTTGTCCAACAACTATCTCAACCTTCATAAAGTCATCTATGGTAATTTCTGAAGACTTGCATTCATTTTCCGATTCAAGACTTTTTTCGTTAGAATTTTCAACTTGGTGATGAGAATTAAACTGATGAAATCCTCTTTTTGCAATATAAAAATATTTACTATTCCGACAGAAAGAACAATTAAAAGTTTTCCTTGATGATGGAGAAAATACTCTTCTCAGAAACATTTTTTAAATTTTTTTTTAATATAAAATTTTATAAAATTTCAATTATTTCAGAAACCTCATTAGGATCTAATACTTCAGTCACATCATCATCATCACTTGAAACATCATCTATTTCAACAGGTCTTAATGGAGTGGAATCAATATAAATTATATTATTTTTTCTGTGGGTAATAGGAGTGGTAAGATTAATGAAAGATTTCTCAGGTGTGTGATGTATTTCACTTTCGTCTACAAGA